GTGATAATGATTGAAGGTGAAATGAAAATTTGAACCGTGGTGGGACTTGAACCAGCGACCACTGGTTTTCTGTCCTGATACTCTACTAACTGAGCTACGAGGCCCGACTGTTGACCAGATTTTTATTTCACTTAAATTACCAAAGGGTTTCGCCCAACTAATATGTCAATTTGTGACGCGTTACTCCCACTTGAACGTGCTTACACTGACTGTCCAATCAGGATTTCTCATTCCAATCCAAATCTAACTGAATCAGAGAGCGGGAGCATCATATTGATTATTATTTTACTATCTGAGGTAGATAGCCGTAGTTCGACAGACTAGTATTTGTACTGGGTGATGATTGAAGGTGAAATGAAGATTTGGACCATAACCGGTGGACACTGGTTCGAATCCGTCCGCGATCCAAATTTTCCTTTCACCTGCAATCATCACCGAGTATCAGTGTTAATATTTGTTATCGAGATTATTTGCAGTTGAGGAGAATCTTTTGAATTAAGTGGCATCATCTTATCCTGCAAATGGTGTTCTCATTACATTATTCATAAGTGTGATGAAATGTATGAAATTGCAGAAATGTTATAAAAATAGGCGCATCAGTTAATGGTTTCGTCTTTAGAGTATTGGCTAATTAAGTACATCTCTACAATTTGTCGTTACTCGAGCCTTTATCGCTGCAATACTCTACCAATTGCTGCTTTTTTTCTCTCACTATATGACATGGCATTCACCCTTGATCAGAAACATTTCAATTTAAAGTAAGCAAAATACTGATTTCTAGACTTCTACCCCAGACATATTTCAACTAAGCCTGATTACAGTCCCAGTCTTGTCAGTGTTTGACAGTGAACAACGATGAGAAACCTCAAAGTGGAATAGGGTAATTGCTCATTGTCGTCTACTGTTCACTGTTTACCAGAGTTATATCAGCTCATACTAGAGAGTAACTTCCAACTAGTTGGTGATACTTTTTCTGAGCGATATGGCTTGATTATGAATCTTTTATTCTCTCTCCAAATAGCATCAGCGCTAAATTGAACTATTGGAATTTCTACGTGAATGTTTAATTGCTGTCTTGATGAGACAGGGTGTGACTGATAAGTTGCTTCATCTGTTCTGTTATGAACTACACATTTCCATCGGTAGTTTCTCTATATGACCTCTGACCTTCTAGTCTACCATTTTTCTTATTGGTTAGCTGGTTGAGTTTATGTCTGTACCACTTCTGATTATTGGTGCAATAATGCTGAACATTTATAGTATTCTTTTGTATGCTCTCTGTCCCAGATTTCTATAATTTTAACACCGATTTCGTGTCCACAATTGTCAGTGTTCATTGACATAAGGGATGATATGCCGTAACACTTAACTGCCAACTGAAATTCATTTAAATGATGATGTTATAGGGAACCACTTTGTCCACCGCAATTTTAACCCAACTCAGTACATATTTATATACTGGGCTATGAGTCACAATTATTATATTGGTTATCCAGGCCAAATTAAGTGATGATTAAATCTAGTACCCACTGCTTGGAAGCTAAATGCTTAAGCTGACAAGCGATATCTCTAATGTGCTGTTGAATTCTAAAAGGAGATTTTGTTTGTCTTTCGTAGATATTACACCATTCACTAAAATAACTGATTCACTAAATGAATATCCTTTGGTTTCATTTCTTGTAAATCCTGTCACCAGTCTCGTTGAGCAAATTAAAGCCAAAGTTTCTTAGACTTTACTCTCTCTATGTGAGCATAAACTAGATAATAGATGGAGGACCTCTGACTAATTTGCTTGAGCACTCTATATTTAATCAACAGGTCGCTGGTTCATGCTTCACCTCACCAAATTTTTCATCATAAGCTCTCATACATTAAGTATGCCTTATATAAACCCTGTACTGAGCATCCAAATGTGATGAATAATAATCAATTAATTTTCCAAAAACCTCCAAATCGAATAGGAATCAAATGCTTGCTGGTGACTTATTTCGATATGAACTTCCCTAGTTACTGATGAGAAGCCATGATCTGTGTAACAACCAGCGAATTCGGATGTAAGGACAAATACTCCCTAATATTCGCGCTGTACCAAAAACTGACGGAAGTTGGAAAACCTAGGCGACCCAACCCAGCGACTGAATTGTGACCTTGGTCTGATGGTGCTGGGTTAGCACTTATGAGGAGTCCTGAACTGGGACGAAATAGCTGTCCAGTGTTCCCAGATTTTCAGTAATGTTGGTCTGTGATGGAAACCTCTCTGGAAGTGTTAATTCCCCACAAAGCTCCATATTGAACAGTGAAACGATAGCAGAAAGAGAAGAGAGGATCTTGTATGGAACACAACAATATACTTTCATTAGCATTTCATGCATATTGTAGTGGGCGTTGCTGATAACAACGGATATAAGTAGTATATATCGAGAGGGTGGCAGGAATCATAGGGAATTACCGGCAATGGGCAAGGTTTCTGCCAAGGGCAAAGCAGGGGACAACACAGGCGTATTACAGGGGATGCTGCTGATAAAAGTGTATGAAGAGCCGGTCAAGAGCAAATCAAGACAGGAATAGAGAGGAAACGAAGGCATTTGCAAATGGATGCTTTAGTGCAAGGAGTACCATATGTAACCACTACCATTCCAATTGTTCGTAATAAACATTCTCTCGTCGAGTTGTCTTCCGTTTCTTCAATATTGCTTTTCAAAGAACCCCACTGAGAGTCAAAATTCACCAAAAGCTGTCTGTTAACAGTGTTAGCAAATACTATTTGTTATGGAGGCTGTTGCACCACCATATTTTCAATACATCTAGACCTGCAAGGCGTATTTGTTAAAACATCATCATCAGATGACCCAGTTAAGTCCACTGCATAGCCAGTTATTTAAATCAAGTGGAGCTGCAACTCATTGCTTTAAGCATTCCATGTACTGTGGCCTGGGCAACCAGATATTATTATTTGTACCCACACAACAGGGGTGTAACCTATTTCCTAGTGAGCGAATCTGCACGTGGATGTTAAGTTGCATTCTATTGTATTTGCTTTTTGATCCGAAACAGTGACAAAATCTTATAATTTTCCAGAGTAAATACAATACTTCGAAATGACTGGTAGTTTACATATTGTTATTCTTCTAGACGCCTTACTGACATGAGTAGTTCTTTTTCTATTCGGAAAAGGAATTCTTTGAACTCCCGGTAATGAATAATCTTTTTGTGATTGGAAAGAGTTTCTCATCACAGATCGATATCAACCAGAGAACCATGAGAAAATTAGGAGTACTGGACAACTTTTACATCTTAGTTTGAGATTTTCAACAGTACACACTCACGACCCAGTAAGGGATACAACTCAGGACCATCAAGTCTCTTATGGCAAACAAACATATTACCACTTAGTCACTGGTGATATTTTCTGTGCTTATTATTTAAACTGAGTAAATGCACTTTACTCTGCTTTCAACTCATTGGTTGATCTTATTTGTTCCAGTGATGTTTGTAGGCGCTTCCATCAATTCTTATGAACCGAAGTAGAATTGTCCCTAATTAGTTTAATTAAATCTCTCCCAGCGATTTCAAACTTCTGTCAGTCTATTCAGATCTAAGTAATCTGGTATTTGATCTATAAACTCTTATTTAGTAAGTGCAATGACCTACAATTAATGAAACACCTTGTATTAACAACCCATTGGTTCTATCTATCACTTCGATCATTTTTAGATCTTACTCAGCTTACTTAATGCTCAATACAAAAGTTAACAGTTTTATAATAATAATAATAATAATAGCTTTATTCTGAAAGTCATTTTGGGAATACTCTACAGAATTTTCAGCATGCCATACAGCATCATTTGGAAATGGACAGTGTATATGTATACACAGCAAAATGAAATAAGTAGAAATTATATCATAAAAAAAGATAAGAATATTCGCTGTATCTACAACTTTCTTGAAAATACACAGTCAATTTAAGTGGATAATCACATTTGCAATTAGATTCATACTACGTAAAAAGTAACGCGCTCATCTTCATTGAGTTTGGTTTCAAAGACACAAGTTGATCAGTTCGTTAGTTCATTTCTAATACTTGCTTCATCACACAGTAGGCGAGTTAAATACGGTATCGTAAAGTTTTTATATTTTGTATTAAGTGCATAGAATCTTATATACTTGCTTCTCATCTTTCCAGATGGCCAACACGTAGAGAGGTTTGAAATAAAAGGATGCTAGTCATCTGATAAAATAACTCCTGTCAGATGCTTACACGAGTTAATATGCTTGTGCACAACAGTTTTAACTAGAAGGTTAAGGGGTACACCACTGGTTCTGCTGATAATCTTCAAAGTTCAAGGCAATATAGCATAGTCTTTTTTAGCAACCCGGGAGAAAATAAAGGGGAACAATAGAGGAGGAGAACAGGGAATATACAGGAGTTTATGAAACACAAGGGAAGAGGTTGAGTAATACCAGATACTGTCAGCTTCCTAATTTAGAAAGTAAGGTGGAAATTTCTTTCGGAAATGAGTATGGTATGGGAAGATCAGAAAGGTTCGAAGAAAAACATACACCACGATAAACCACATTTGTAACATTGTGTAATGCGCAGGTATCAATAGGACAGGAATCATGAGAACTAAGCAGTTTACACAAGTCATATTTACATCTAAAACTAAAATTTATGGTCTGACATTTTAAAGAATCAAGCATAAGACCATTCTCGAAGGACCATCGTCTAACAGTAGATAGGAAATCATTCAGTTGCGAGCAGTCTGCTGGCTAGGAGATACATCAATGAATATACCTTCGTCAGCCTAGCTGTCATGGAAATGTTTTTGCTGTCTACATGCGATAAGGATCAGACGGATTAAATCACACTTTTTTGATTATTATTTAGTTATCAGTAGCTATTTTAATAGTTTAAAATACGAACAATGTAAATTAGATGAAAAGTTCATTTTGTGTTTAATTCATGTATATTTGTAAGAGTTGAATATCCTTTTTTTCAGCAAAGCAGATTATCTGAAGAAGTCAATCAATTGAAACAACAATTTTTAGAAATTCAAACTGTTCTAGTATCTATTCAGAATATTCTAATGAATCGAATTCATCTCAACTGTTTGCATACTACTTCATCAATACCTCCATATCCGTTGAATCCGTCCATTTCTTCATCGAACAAAAACAATAGTAATATTCCAACATTTTCACCCATTATTTCAGTAGTAAATAGTAACATGCTGTCTACCAATGATGAAATGGATTCCTCTTTGAACAATGTACATAAATATTATGATAATACTGCGTTTATTCATAATCCCTGTATGAAATCTGATAGCGTTGTTTATCTAACCACCTGTTCATCACAAAGCCTACCGACAGCGACACCAATTCACATATCTGAAATCTCTAAACCTCCAGCCATTCATACATCATTTATGCCTTTAGAAATCCTAACAAACCATTCATCTGAAAACACCGTTATTACACCGAGTATTTCATCCTCACCTTCAATTTTATCTGCTGTTTGTGACTCGATTCTATCTCATATCCCACTGTCTGTGGTGAATAAGACTTCATTGGGTAGGTTGCCTGCTGTACTGATTTTTTGTTGTCTTAATGTTTTGTCACTTCAGTGTTCCTAACCTCACATTTACCACCAACTAATATTATTCGAAACTAACACTTTTTCATGCCTGCAATTTCCAACTAGAAATTGTAGTGGTGAAGTCCATTGGAACTTTGAACACCTCTACAACCTGTGGTTATTTCTTTAGTCGCCATTCATGAGGTGTGACTAGTAGTTGGTGCAACTGATAGCTGGCTACCTTGTCGTGATGGTCGAGTTTGCACAGCATAATGATCCAAAGATCTATACTGATGGGAAAATTTGTTTTCTTGAGGTCCTACCATACCAGAAAGTCGTGTTGGATAGTGGTAAGACAAAAACCAATCATCGTTATGGTGTAAATAACTACTTTATAGTGGGGTTTGATGGCGAGTTCATACTGGACGGGTTTGTGACATCAGTAAAGTTTGTTGCGGACTACCAGTGGTGGTATTTTGATGCTGCCTTCCTTATGAGAAGGAGAGGAATAAAAGTTGGCCCCCAAAATACCACACTGTCTCTTGCCCTGTGATGTTTCGGTACCGGCCATTAGAGTTTTCCAGCTGGATTTAAGATGACCTGATTTAATTCCAAATTTTCCAAAAAGCTGTGTGTATCGGATCTCAAGTAGATATCTCTTGGACTCATTAGTGACTCACCTTTATAGATGATGCAATTTTTCCTAGGTATTTCAAGAAGAGGTGACCTTCCGCCGTGCGGGAAGCCGGCAGGTATCAACTGCCCCCACAACTTTTCCAGCATTCAAGTTCTATCAGATTATTGCAATCAGGCTATGGAACGTAGGTACATCTACCGCCGCCCGACACTAGCTATATTTATTGACCTAAAATATGTTTTATGGTAACGTTTCTCACTGGTAAGAGTGTCAGGTTAGTGAGTTGTCTTTTCGAAAGCTCGGTATTCAAACCCTCATGGGTTTGTTATAGTGTTTGGTGAGTTATCAGGTGAATTCTATACGTCGAATTGTATCCATTAGGGATATTCACTGCTCTTTTTACTCCCAAGTGAACCCAAAGTATACAGATGACGTGAAGATGCTGATACAGTAAAGAGTGTTCTGGCGACTGTTTTTAATGCGTTTCTCACCACTTAAATGCAAATTGTTCCTCCACGACTGATTTTCCCGGTGCTTCGTCTGATAATAAGGATTGAAAAGGCTGAGCTGGTTTCTCAATTCACTTACCTTAGAAGTCGAGTCAGCCCTGGTGAGTCAGGAACCGACTAGGTCTCTGCACGGAAACAACAGGATCGCTTGGTCTTTGCCAAATTACACCATTTATGATGTCTTATTCTTATCCGATTGACTGTTAAGGGTCGATTTCATCGCTTTACAGTTCTACTATATAGCTGTGAAAGCAAACTTTAAAGGTAGAGGACATGAGAAGGCTTCAGGTGTTCGATTACCGTTGGTTTCAGAGCATTGAGTATATCATGGAACCACCATATGAGTAACGTAGAAACAAGGTACATAGTTTTGCATGTAAGAAGAACATCATTTGATGAGTTTGCCAACCTTCGTCAACTCATGTGGTTGGAACATGTGTTATGCTTACCTAGTTACCACTTATGCTCTTGGGAAATGTCAGCTGAAGTAGAATTAGGCTAAATAAAAGATAGATGTGATAAAGCTCAAACAGGGCATCAGTTCATGAAGTCTTTGATTGTTAGTCTGAACTGTGTAGACTTCTCAGTCGGGATCCGCGTGCCAATCAAAGCAGTTAGTTGGAGACTAGATGATATAACGCATATGAACCCACGAGTCATCTTCATCTTAATCATCATACTGAATCATATTGTTGTCTCATTCCTTCTCGTTCCATTCTCACGAATTCTTACCAATTTTTACTACCTTCCTTATTTTTCTATCTTTTATGTCGGTGGATTCTCGCATGATGTGCTGTGGTGTCACTTCGTAAAATGTTGGGTTACTTGAAGAATGGAAAGTGGTAAAAGCTGCCTCAAACTTTTCTTCTAGTCATCACTTAAGCCAACTTGGCACGCTCATGCATATTTTTGGTGTATTAGATAGTGAACCATACACATTGTGTAAATGCTAATGATACTTTTTGGTTGTCTAAGCGTTGATTAGTCGAGTGGAGTTCCAATCAATGATCCATCGATGGAAAGGTCTATTGAGTAGACCAATAAATAAGAACCGGATATAACTATATATCGGTCTTATTTGTTATACTTCACATCAACTGAACAAGTTGACGGTTGAAAATAAAGAAAGACAAAGAAATACTTGTATCAACGGTCGTAAAGAAAGACAGTAGATAAAAATATTATAATAAAGAATGGTGTGTGATGACACGTTTTTCAGAGATCGAAATGAAGATAAAGCATGGGTTTATTTGCACTGCTGACATAGATTCTGGGTTGATTTAACACTCTCTAATCGGGAAGGTTATATCCTCCATACCAATAGTTGGAAACTTCCTAGATTAATTCAGTATCTTGGTTTCGTTCTAAAGTAATCCTACCCTAGCTGAAATATCACTGTTCGGCATGTTTATCGCGTGTTTAACCACTTCACTTAGTGACGATTCATAATCTGGCATACTTTCTTTGTGTACTATTCTACGTTTCTCATATGATAGTCACACACACACCAACAGTATCACGAAGACAATGTTGTTCAAGTGGTTAGTCAGTGCTTCATCTCCTCCTTCTTGTTTTATTTACTTTTAACTGCTCCTAACCGACTGTTCTTCACCGTAAATGCAGCGCTCAACAACCTTGTACCTGTGATAAAAAGAATAATACTAGTTAGTGTAATTCAACCTGTTGCACATGTTTATTTGCTAGGTTATGAGCTGGACTTATTGTTCCAGTGCTCAGGTCGAAGTAGGCAGAACAGGACCCAAATATAAAAAGTCATTTGCTTAGGCTAATGAGCCATACTTCTACACTAGCCTAACCAACTGTGTAAATTTATGCCTACTAGACTAAGACGCGATCTCTCCTATTCACCAGGCCAAATGGTACTACCTCACTGCTTTCTAGATTACTGACTATTCAGGGTATTAGATATCTTTTAGGCTTGGAATTACGAACTTTTATTCCACTTGCCAAATATTTTATATGTGAGTTGTTCACAATGTTTAAACCATGAAAATCTATCACACTAAGCAGAAAGCCTGTCTCTTCACTGTCAACAACACAATACATCGTATGATAGTATCATATCAATCAGTTAGTTTATTGTGACGCAAATAAGTCATACAGATTGAACTAGTCAATCAAAGCTAGCTAGAGTTGGGTGTTAATATGCACTCAATGTCCAATTATGTTGAAAATATAAAATAAATAACTTGTATACTAAAGGAGAATGTGTCAACATTACAAAGCTTGCATACTTTGAATTGACTGAGTTCTATTCTCTAATTAAAGTCATGCCTACACCTGAACATATTCACAAAATCAATTGTTTTAATCCGTACACAATAACGTATATGTATATATATGTGTATGCCTTGTGTGTATACCATTATTGATTTTATATGCATGTAATATATCTAGTATTAATTAATTATAGATTTTTCATGATAAAAGATCGATATCTGACCAGACATTATTGAAATAAAATTTCTTTTCTTTTTGACTTTCAAGGACATTCGTACATTTATAATTATTATCATTAATTTGATGTCACTATACACTTGATAGTAATGATGTACAGTTGAGAATGTATGAAGACTAGTCAGACGCCTTTCTTATCTTCAAATAAATTACTCTGAATAAGATGAGTTTATGAGATAAATGAAACAGTATTCTAGTGTTTGTATCTTTTATCCATCATACAGTATTCTAGTTACTTGATCTGAGTTATGGTGTATCTGGACACAAGACTCTATTATGACTTTGCCTACCTGCAAACTTCATTATTCTCCCAAGAAGTTTTCGGGAACTTGAGAGTTCATTATTACAAGGCCATACTATCAATCCAAATAGCTAAGTGGTAACATCTATGATTACCACTAGTTTGAATTACACTCCATCGAATGTATGCTTTACCGAACATATAGACAACCAAATTCTTAAAGTCAGAAAACAACCCAACTGCTGCTGAAAGTATGACAGCTTTGACAGCTTTCGGCTATATATACTGTGAAAATTTTCTTCGTCTTGAAGTGACTAAAAGAAAATATGAGCATTACACGTGACTATAGAACCCTAATGTCTTTTACGTGTTTACAGAATCGCTTCTCTGATTAAAGAAGCTTGCAACGGGCTATGTAAATCTGTAGGGGTAAGGTAACACATAGCTTTCAAGATAGACCTTTAATTACTCCCCATTCTCAGTGTAAAAAGTTGCACAAATGATTACTTCATGGAGGTACCTTACTTCTTGTATCTCTCTGGGCAGCCAGTGGTCTGACTTCCCTTCCAGACTGTCACCGTAACGAGTTATTTACACTACAAAGATGGCTTATTTCATTATTGTTATGTCAGTGCTTCTATGAGATGGTCCAGGAACTTGGTGCGTTACGAAAAGCATCCCCAACAAACTACAGACATCCACCAACAGCTGCCTACTCTCGATACTGACCAGAAAGAATAAGCAACAAGAAACTCTGATCTGGCAACAAACCAACCAAGAACCCATCGCCCAACAAATATGCAGAAGAAGAAGGAAGTGGAGATGGATTGGGCATACACTGAGAATACAGTTTGGGGACATCACTCACCAGGCCAGACCCTCGAGTGGAAGCTAAATGGGAAACGACGAGTTGGGCGTCCGAGGCGAGGGTGACACAGAGGAGATGGTGTGAGGAAGAAATGAAAGCTTGTGGTCAGTGGTGGAGCGAGGTTGAGGCAGACTACAGAGAAGAGAGTGAAATGGTGACGTGCTACTGAAGCTGTATGTTCCACTAAGGACAAATAAATAATGAATAATAGCCTAATGGAAAGACATGTATCAGGTTCAGTCGCACTAAATTAGTTTGAGAGAACTATTGTCATCAGGAGAGGACTAGAGAGCTGTCTCGTTTTAATTTGTGACTATTCAACAGTACACACCCACTACCGATGAGGGCTCCAGTCCAAAATGATCAAGTCTCTCAACGAACGCCTTACCACTTTACCAAGGTTGGAACTCAATAAATAATGTTCCACTGGGAACTCAAGGAAGAAATAATAATAATAATTTCATCATTACCACTATCCGATAGACTTTTGTGACATGATAGGACCTCAAGAAATAGTCATTCTAGCCTGTTGGAGCTGTGATTCATTGGTTTAGGATACTGATTATCAACCGATGAGTCACGGGTTCAAACGCCGCTCTACCTACCGAGGTTTGAAAACCCAGGTAGTAGTATCATTAGCCCTCATACAGTAGATGTGGCTCATTGCCTACTGCACGGATGTGCACAAGATTCCTTAATGCATTTAAACTTTCTTAAATAAGTACTTTATTCAAGGTAAAAGCCGTCGATATGGAGCGAACCCATGTCTATGACTTTTTACCCATTGTTTATGGTGACTTAGCTTAAGAAGTACATGCAGCTGTATACATTAGGCAATGAATCACATATATTTCATGGAAGTTGATGTTAATATCTCACTGCGTAAACCCCTGTAGACAGGTAAAGCGAGGTTCGAACCCGTGCTCCACTCTTTGAACGTCGATTGCCCAAACAAGTGAGTCAGTGGTCCCACTGTTTATAAGTCATAAGTTCATTTAATTGTCAGATAGATTTGTCTCAAACACGCCTGTATTTTTCAGGCAGACTTCTTTTCTTTCAAGTTGGTATTTATCGTGGACTGACATCAGCTGGAGGAACATTGGAAACCTGGGAGCACTGGACAGCTGTTTCGTTCTAGTATGGGGCTCCTCACGACCGCGCCAGGGGTCGAACCCGCGACGTTCAGGTTCCGTGTCTAGTATGTTACCATTCAGCCACTCGGTCGGAATTCAAAGGTATATATTTCCAACATCTGTCGGTTCACGACATGGCGCGACCACCACCCAATGAATACCGAATTGAAATATCTCTAAATCCCCACAAACCCCCCAAATTCAATTGAACTAGTGCTCATTGGTGACTAGCTTCGAGAAGCCACTCTCGAGGTTCCAGTCAGAAGTTGTAACCAGGGAGGCAAGCCTGGTCCTGTGTTGATTGGGATGGATGGATGTTTGAGTTAGACAGTTTACGATTGAGCTACTGTTCCTTATTGGACTTATGTGCGTACATGAATTGATTGCGCGATATTAACTAATGCATCTGTTGATTCCTAAGTTGTGGTTAATAATCTCTGACCAGCACCACTTACTGGAAGTCTACAATACTTGCAGTCCTGCGACAGTAATTATTCCACGCCTTCTTTGATGTTTCTATAATTGAATAATTTTTATAATTATCTTTATTTTGTATTTACTGTTGAACTACTTAGTAGTGTTATCCTGTGTTGTAGATCATGCTAATAATTCAATCGCCAGTTTACAAACCACTCCTAATTTGATAACTTCAGCAAATTCAACGAATCAAACACAGTACATGCCTTTAAATGAACAAATCAATATGCTGTCATCATTCACTTCAACACAATCTAGTCAACCTGCACCTTATACGCCTATTGTAATTCTAAACTCATTACATCCTAACTATCCACAAACAACTTACTCGTTAACGATTCCGCCTAGTTCCTTCTCAACGGAAACAGCTACATCTAATATCGTAATGTCTTATAATAACAGCCTACCTAAATTAAAAAACTCTCATGAATGTCATGGCAGTGACGAAAAGGATAATGAATGCACCTCACTGAATCCTTCGACTGTTACCAATGGTATAGATGAAAATATTGATCCGCTTGAAAATAGTCCTACATCAACTGATTCGTCTCAACAGCACTTGACAGATTCAGTTGGACCGTTGAACACATTTGAAATTGCTGCAACTGTTCGAGATCTGCTCACAAGGTATAATATTTCGCAACGGCAATTCTCTAGGCATGTGCTTAAAGTGAGTCATGGGACCGTGAATGAATTATTGTCGAAACCCCGACCGTGGTACAGACTAACAGCACGTGGTCGAGATTCGTATAGACGATTACACGCTTGGATATCAGATCCCAATAATGTCAACACTTTTAAAACGGTTCAAAGTAAGCAGAGTGGTAAGTTTCTTTTTTGAATTTTCGCATATGCATGTGTTCCGTAATTGAACATAGATTCCTATTTCTGTAAAATGTATAGCTGTTACTAACTGTTCTAAATCTCAAACCATCGAGTCATTGGTTTGAACCATTCTCCATCTACTTTAACTTGTACAAATGGGTGGTATCGTGAACCCTCACACATTAGGCCTTGCTTTATTGCCTAGTACGCACGTAAATCTATGCAAAGTTACTGAGGTCCATCGACTTATCATGATTCCTTCTTAAAAATGTTTGGATTTAGGGTAAGAGAGTATGCTAGGGTATAGTGATTGAAGCTAAAATGAAACCATGCATCATGGCAAGTTTCCAACCCACAGTCTTTGGATTACCAACCCAGTGCTCTATTGACTTAATCACGAAGCAACTGTGGTGATGCATGAACCGCTACTCACCACTCATTCACATGAAAGCTAGGTAGAACTCTCGGTGTTTGCAGTAAAATGGATGGATGTTTAGAGATGATACTGAATGCCAGTCATTCTACATCCCGAATCGAAAGAATTCATTGAACATTATTCATTGAGTTCCAACCTTGGTAAAGTGGTAAGGCGTTCGTTGAGAGACTTGATCATTTTGGACTGGAGCCCTCATCGGTAGTGGGTGTGTACTGTTGAATAGTCACAAATTAAAACGAGACAGCTCTCTAGTCCTCTCCTGATGACAATAGTTCTCTCAAACTAATTTAGTGCGACTGAACCTGATACATGTCTTTCCATTAGGCTATTATTCATTATTTATTTGTTCCTAGTGGAACATACAGCTTCAGTAGCACGTCACCATTTCACTCTCTTCTCTGTAGTCTGCCTCAACCTCGCTCCACCACTGACCACAAGCTTTCATTTCTTCCTCACACCATCTCCTCTGTGTCACCCTCGCCTCGGACGCCCAACTCGTCGTTTCCCATTTAGCTTCCACTCGAGGGTCTGGCCCGGTGAGTGATGTCCCCAAACTGTATTCTCAGTGTATGCCCAATCCATCTCCACTTCCTTCTTCTTCTGCATATTTGTTGGGCGATGGGTTCTTGGTTGGTTTGTTGCCAGATCAGAGTTTCTTGTTGCTTATTCTTTCTGGTCATGTCAGTATCGAGAGTAGGCAGCTGTTGGTGGATGTCTGTAGTTTGTTGGGGATGCTTTTCGTAGCGCGCCAAGTTTCTGAACCGTCGCATAGAAGCACTGACTTGACTTACATTGGTGTTGAAAATCCGGATCTTGTTCTTTATGCTAAGTAGAGTGCAGTGCAGTAGATCTTCATACTGGTTTCAGATGAGTGAAGGTCTATCTTGCTGTCTTTCCGATCCTGGCTTTGACGTTCTCATCTGTGCCTGTGTCACCTGTAGTTGAAACGATGTTGCCTAGGTAGGCGAGAGAGACAACTTCCTTTAGGTTTCTACCGTTCATTGTGATTGATGCTTGTTGTTGTTTGTTGGGTGGGTATCTTCATCTCCTCTCCCTTGTCTACATTCACTTGAAGTCCCGTCTTCGCTGCCCTTCCTCTTCTGTCAACTTGTTGGTTTTCGCCTGTAGATCTTCGAGTTTTTGCGACATTACACAGACATAAATCATCATCGGCGAAATCCAAATCTTCTAGGGTCTTTTCATTGGTCCAACTAGCGTATGCCTATCTTCTCGCTCCTCACGGTTTGTTGCATCATGCAGCCGATCACAATCAGGAAGATGATCGATGATAGTATGTGGCACCAAAACCTCAGTGTTGAAGCAGTTTCCAAGTTACTTGTCGGTCGACGCTGTCGAATGCCTGCCTTTTCAAAGTCGATGAAGTTGAGGTGGGGTAGAGGGTTGACTGCCATTCTATGTTCTGTTCTATGATGATATACTAAGCTATAAGATACATTTAATTTGTGAATGCTTATGATACTACCCAGTCACTCTAGTCGTAGTAGATGGAAGTGAAGTTGATTGGTTCGCTAACGATGTCAATTCGTGATGAAGTCTTTGAAGTCATTCATCCTCATTTGTAAATTGGAGAGAGAGTTTAACATAGTGGAGAATAATTGAATGTCAAAGAAATGTTTTGTTGTTGTTAGGCTCTCCCAGCTCTATGTGTTTCTATCGTGAACCTTTTTTACCCTTCTATACAAAACTATCAGCCTGAATTGCAGAAAAAAGTAAAGTATGAGAATCTCATTACACGTGCCTTGTCAACCTGACGACCTTCAATAAGTGATTGGTATTTTGTGAAATTGTGTTATGTTCAGATTCGGAAGGCAATATAATCGAACGACACCACTAGAAAAATCATACCTATGCAAACTGATCTTCACTTTCAGAAACAACCATGGCTATAAACTTTGGCAGGACTAATGCAAACTTTTCAGCTTAAACCGATATACAGGAAAACCTCCAATTAAATTATTTTTCATATGACACTGTATAATGAGATAGTTAGTGGATTATCTCTTATATATTATATAGCTTTATTAGGGTTCGCAACTGTGAAAGATGAAAAAGAAGAGAGGTATATGAGGATATATCTGCAATACGCTAAGCTAAATGACCATATGTCAGACTAACTTCAAAGATGCATAGACACTCAGATACACTCCCTTATATTACTGATAAGACTACTTGAGATTGTCTTGTTTAACAGACTGTTCCCAATCTCAGGATATGATAACTGAAGTTCAAAATGAAAATCCTGACCAGAGTAGGGATCGAACCAGTTCCCGATTTTCGTACCAGCACTGTATCAACCAAATCACGTGACCCGAACTTCGTAAGATGAAAGATAAGACTATCTTTGCACTATATCCACGGGGTGTAAGCTATGCTCATGTGCATCTAAATTGTTTCCACAACGTACCATAGTTCACAAAAATGAAATGGTTTATTTTATACATCGAAAACAGAATAACGCACAATGGCTATTTTCATTTAAAATACAAATATTTTAGAACAATAAGTCATACGGAAGTGAGTCAAAGTTCAATAGAAAGTTCTTAAACTGAGGTACACAATGAAGCTACGAAAAAGTCTTCAGCATAACGTCTTTTAAAATAAGTAAAATAATATGAGATTCTCCTTTCAGTCTGTTTAAACACCTTGAAGATTCATATCTGCACTACTATTTACTGTATTCAAATCTTTTACCATTAAGTTATTTAGTTTATGGTTAACCTAATATAGAATGAGATTATATACACATACATGATCTCCGTTAGCTTCAAGATTTTTGAATGAAACAGCCAAACTGTGCTTTGAATTCTGAATATTGGTCAGCAGTAGAATCCAAGACGCATGTTTCTTCCTATTTGGACTTGTCAGCTGGATGTACCTGCCTATTATTACTCTTATCATTATCATTATGATTATTGTTATTATTATCATTACTGGAGCACAAATATGGTACAACAAAGGAACCAAAAAATGCCCCACACAAAATAGTTTAACACTATTTTGAAGACATAAAGCCAAGGGAAGTAGATAAAAAAAAAGGAAAACACAGTAAGAATAGAATGCTCAGAAGGGTAGTCCAATAAGATATAATCAGAACAAAAGATCCATTACTTTCCAGCAGCAGTATAATCACCACTATTTTTGATTCTGAGCCATATCTGATTAGCCACTAAGTCGCCTGATCTCTCGGACTCCGTCCAGGGAGTCGTGGTGCACCGACAAATGCTAATCCGATACAACTATCCTCTATCTCACGGCGCCACATGACACACTGACCACCCATACGCTTCTTCCATCCAGTCTCAGGGCTAGCAAACAATGAACGATGTGGAAGCCGTTGGGACGACATACGTAACACATGTTCAAGCGACCGAAGCCGGTGTTTGAAGATAAATTCACTTACTGCATGACGATCTCCATCATGCACAAATACACGTTGTCGTACCTCAGAAGTAATTACGTGATGCTGTCACCTGAGGCAACGACAGTTGAACACGCAGAGTCGTCGCGCATCCTCAACTTGTAGAGGTCAAGTTTCACAGGCGTAGAGCAGAACTGCTGGCACTGCAGCGTTGTAAAACTGAACTTTTATGGTCAGACTGACGTCGCGAAGACGCCAAAGGTGACCCAGATTGGTGTATCCCACTTCGGCTTCCGATATACAGTTAGAAATCTCACACTTTTCGACTACTTCCGACGGCTCACCACCAAGGGTAAGTGCAGGCTCAGGCTCCTGCCAATCGTGCAAAAGTACTTTGCACTTCGATGATGAAAAGCATATACCATACTTATGGACACTAATCGTCAACTGAATTAGCACGATTTGATTAGTCTGTGTGCTATAGCACAGTAAGACGATTCCATCTGCATATTCAAGGTCAAATAGCTGATCTTCGGGTAAAAGATCTACACTAGCATCATGCACCTCCTTGAGAGCTGTCTCAAGAACGTCATCAACAGCCAAGTTGGAGAGAGACGGAGAAATCGGGTAACCCTGCCTAACTCCCGCTGCTGGTTTCCAACAGTGGAGATGGATGGTTGTATCCCCTCACTCTACTTGAGGTGTTATTATATGTGGATTTCAAGATGTTAATAAATTTCGCAGGCACACTCCTCTCTCACAGACAATTCCACAGTACAGCTCTGTCCAACGAATCGAAGACAGCTCTAATGTCAGAAACATAACAATTGTTGGCCTGGAATACATGTGGCGATGTTCAAACACCTGATGGAAGATAAACACATGATCAATGTATCCAGGACCTGAAAGAAACCCAGCCTATTCCTCACGAATAATTTTCGCACACACTTTACAAGATCGTCGAAGCATGATAGCAGGCAATATTTTCAATGTGACTGATAACAGACTAATATTGTGATGATTGTCACATACATTACGTAAACCTTTTGAAAGATGTGGCTTCATTCCAGAGTGATGGGGCACTCGGTCTCTTTCGCCTTCCCAAACAATGCAGTCAGTTCCCTGACCAGAGTCGTTCCTCTATCCTTAGAAAAAGTCGGGGTTAAGTTGACTGGGTTGGGTGCCTTGTGGCATTTCAGAACTTGGAGTTCCTTATGGACTTCCACTTCGTCAGATGGGTCATTGTTAACTAACCATGGAGCGCATACACTAAAACTGAGTATGCTGGAGTTATGGACCAGCTAAACTGCTTTTCGAAATGATCTACGTAGACGTCTGAAGAAGCTGTGGCATACACAGCGAAAACGTCCAGAAGAATCTTGTTTTCGACTTTCTAAACACGCTGGGTTTGTATTGAAACTTATGTAATGCCTTTGAAGATTGCTTATGGGTGTACCATCTACCTCACTTACACCAGGTTACCTGCTGCCAGTGACTCGGATGAGCTGGAATAGCTTCCAAATGTTGTCAGATGTTGCTACTACTTCCATCTCACTCACCTGTTCTGACCACCAAGCCCTGCGAATCATTGTGTTAACTATCCGCCGGAATCATCTGATGAGCGTCAAGAAGTTGCAAGGAGCTCGCAGAGACTCCAGTGTTTATTAGCAGGATGTTTTTCCAAACCGTAAGCACCTTAACTCTTCATTTTCTTGGCGTCTTGCAAGTGCAGCCGATGCTTTCTGAAGGATCGGTGGCTAGCCTTAAACCTAGCTCGAATTGGAAGTTAGCTGCAATGTTAGGTGCAACTAATTTGCTTGCATCGACGTGTTTAGGACGACTATTTTGATGACCACCAAAACGCAAGACGAGCTTATCATACACTAAAGCATTATCAGAGTCCAGACAATTACTTCATATGGAGCGGCAATCTTGTATGCACTCACGCCATATGTAGGTGATTGCGATATGATATATTTGAGTCCAGGGCTGAGTGGCAGAGTGAGGACGTCGAGTAGCACAACACAGTGATGGCTGTGCCGGAAGCTGGTGCTGCCTGGTAATTGTTTGTGATCTGCGCAAAGCTGCAGTGGACCATCCCCATTATTCGACCTTCGGCCAAATACTCCCCATTAGACATCTAAACAACTCTTCTCTGAGCCTAGACACCCAACCTTCGCATTCAAGTCTTCAGCTGCACTACGATATCTGTTGAGCGCACTTGGTTTAGGAGGTTACTCAGTTGATGATAGAATTCATCCTTGGTTGGATCCGCGCTGCAATCTGTCGGAGCATGGATAAAGATGACAAAGAGACATCGTCTCTGTTGCCGGTTACTTCTTACTCAAGTCAAACCTTTTAGCCTAACAGCACAGAGACGACTATTGATGGGGATCCAGTCGAGTAGTGCAGCTTTGGCTCTAGTGCTTAGTGCAACATACACTAGCGACGCTGGTTGTGGATGCTGCGGTGGTTGTTAGTTAAGCGCACATGAAACATACTTTTCGAGCTGACAGATGCGGAACTAATTCGAAGCACTTCACTTTGATCTTATATTCGAGTCTCTGAGATGTAGCGTACAACAATGATGAGGCTTCCTAAAGTCCTAGCAAAACCTACCTGTTATCCGATCTGGATCAAGGTACGAACGTTGAACGTGGCGAGCTTAAACAGTACACGCAGTTTTAGGACAACTGTGTCAGATGTCGCACTGCAGGACAGCTTTGTGGGGATAACTGTTTAGTACCTGTTCAAAACGGCAGACAGACCAGAAGTCTAGGCAGTGGAGAGCAGCTGAGTGAAGTGAAGATAAAGACGAAAGCGAAAATGGTTATAACAAAAAATACAGTTCATATGTAAGGACAATAACAACAATATAATAGCAATAAACTGAACAATTGGTTATAGAGTTTGTAGTACGGAGAGCCTGAGTAATCGCAGGAAAGTTTTTAATTGCTCCGAAGTCTTCATTTTATACTGTGAATCCATATTTTATGTGAGGGCTAGGATACTACCCCGGCACCCAGATTGAAGCAAGTGGTTGTCTTAGGGGACCATTGCCCGAGCTTTTGATCCACATGGCAATGGAGCAACATCAGGAGCTGCATTCCCATGGTTGCTGATGACCAAAATAAGTTCATACTCCATTTTTTCACTCTGGAACTTGGACCTCTTGTGCATCGGTTCCTAATCAGAGTTTTCTAACTTCCCTAGGTGGACCTCAGTATCTACCAATCCAATGATAAGCGCTCTACACTCACTTTCACCTCTTAACTTTTGTAGAAACACCCTTGCCACGTGAAGGCAGTAAATAGAAATTCCTTGCTGATGCTGAGGGCGCATAGCAGGGCATTTGGGGACATGCACCTGCTTCCTCATGACTGGTGCTGTTCTCACTAGGACTCGAACCCAAGACCATTCATTCTAAACTCGAGAGCGTTATCCACTGTGTTACGATACCCGCTCACCGTGTGACAGGCATAGTTTTTATGTAATCGCTTGTAATTTTCTGCCGTTGATTGAACCGAATCGATTAGTTGAACTTTTTAACTTCCTAATGGTGGATAGTGACTAGCATTGGAATCCAGGATGCCCATTTCATCCTATTTGGGACTCGTCAGCTGCATATACCTGCTTCCCAGTGAGTGATGTTGTCCGAACAGCTATTCGAACTCGGGGCCAATCTCTTCAAACGCCAGAGCGTTATCCACTAGACCACCGAGCCACGATAGCCACTTCTTGTGTGACGGGTACAGTTTTAGTATTATTGCTTGTATTATACCATCGTTGACTGAACCAAATTTATCGGTCTCTGTTGGCATATGGACTCCTATGTGAATGCCTCGACATTACCTGTGTTTTAATGATAGTGATGTCTAATGTATCACTAATTTATCTGTTGATAACAGATATTTAGTATTTAAGCCTTTTTTCATATACAAGAAATGATTTTCCCTGCTTACTAATCATATTGCCGTGATATACTTTGCTCTCCGTTTTCTTTCCATCAATACGTGTACAGAAATTACTCAACCAGTACATGAAGTATCTAGTTCAGTCAAACAATCACTACCAGTTCCCGTCTCAGATCCTGTAGAACTATCAGCACCTTGTCAATGGGAACTGCCATCAACGAAAATATCATCACTGTCTTCATTTATTCAACCCAGTAATAACCTTGAAGGGCAAAATGTGATAAGCAGTCATTCACATGGAACAGAATGTACTTATAATTTAGATAAAAATCAGACATCTAACTCCAATCATCAGCATTATCAGTCTTGTATCGAAGTAAATACTAACAGTCGTTCATTATTAAAATTTTCAGAACCAAATCGTTCAGATGAAAGTGTTTTATTAAAAGAAGAACAAGAGACTGAAAGACGTGTTAATCAAATCTTATTAGCTGCTAAAGTTGCAATGGATCATGAAAAGCAAATTAAAACCAGTGGATTAACTGAGAAGGCTACAAATGAATCAGTTAACACTGCAATAAAACCCCTTTCTTCAATATCTTCTGATTGTCAAGTTGGTGTTTGTAGCCCACCTACATCTATAGTTACTGTTTGTGATTTACAGGTGAGTTCTATTGATTAAGATATTATGTTAGGGAAAGGAAGGTTCTAATTCGTTCAACTGTACCAGCTTTTGAAGGTGCCATAGGATTTATATATCACCTATACAATATGAATATTGTTTACAGCCTAATATGTTGAATACACACATTGTTACTGTGATATCACAAATTTGCTTTAACCAACATGTTATGTTAGATTCATCATTCCACATAAGTTGAGTGCTTCACTTTATCCTAATGTAAAGTTGAGAGAAATGGTCGTTGAAAATAGACAGCATCTAAAGACTACAGATTGTTGATCCAAATTGTTTCCACAGTACTTCTCATGTATGAGTGATGAAACCGTAGAATGAGCAGTTTTGAGGTTCAGTAACGTACTTGGTAAGAGAGGCAAGTTAGTCTCTGAGGTTATGAATTTGAATCAACTATAATGGCATACCGAGCCACAACCCACCTATTTCAACGTGCTATATTAGATAAGAAGAAAGTTAAAAATGGTTGGATGAAGATATAACCCTAATGCATTCAGTCTATGGTAGTTATTTCGAGCATGGTAGGCATATGTTTGGGTTGTCTAGATGTTTTGAGTCAATAATTCGAATTTCTTAATGGCATGACTTGAAGTCATTAACAATGACCATAGATCTCTACTCTTCGTCATGGAAATTTTGAACACTCATTAGTATTCACTATTCTCTAAAATTCCTTTTTATTTACTCCTTACAACATTTTATTTTTCTACACTTCCTCTCTGTATATTACTTCGAAGTGATGATAGCTGAAAATGATTCACTTTTGTACTAGTTTTTGACTGTCCGGTATTTGGATGCCTTTATTGTTTATCGTTGTATCATTAGCTTAGCATTACTCTTGTATGTATTTTTTTATATACATCACAGACTTCCACTTCTGGAGGAGTCATCAATTCACTGGTGTCAACTTCAGATAGTTCACTGATGAATGGAAAAATCAAGGATACATTTGTTTCTTCATGTCATCTGTCAACTTTTTCCAACAATTTATTGAGATCAACAAGACTTGTTGAATCGAATCCTCCATTGGATAGTAGTAATAATAATCTATGTGGAAATATCAATATGATATCTTGTATACCACCGACTGCATTGACCCTTCAAAATATCGATCTTAATTCAACCTATCCATCTTTGAATACGGTTACAAGTTACGATAAATCGCCTTCTAGTCAAATTGGATCATCATCGGTATGTCCGAACACCATAGTTCACCCTTCAGATCCATCTATGCCAAATATTTCGACTGGAACTACTGTTTCAGATCTGGTAAGTTTAGAAAATCGTTTTGCTTCTGTGTAATTTATTTCTCAAGTTGAATCAAAATTCATCAGAATATTTCTTTGAGTATTTTTATGGCAGTCTGTTTCAGTGCTTTTTATAGGGGGTTGGAGGGGGAGGGGTTAAATTAGTTGATGACCTTGTGAACTTGTAATGACTATGTTAGTCGGGACTTGCATTACACATATTATGAATCGCTACTTACTCGATATTCAGTATTAACTGGGAAGGGTGATAATTAGGTTGCATAATGACCAAGGACAGCCAAAACAATCGATAAGTTATGAACTGTCAACCTGAACCATCTGGATGGAGGTTATAGGCTATTGAACTTGAGTTCCTTGGGATGTTAACAATCAGTTATTGGTGATTATACATGACGACGTAAAGTTGAACATATTGTTGTCAACATTTATTTACTGTCTTCAGCTTCCTTTAAAACTTTAAAAGTTCTCACAAAAGATACACATTAGTTCTTTTTCCGCTCATAATTATAATTGTAAAACCGGATTAAAAGGTAAGGAATTTAGCAATGTTTAAGGTATTTTCAAATATGACTAGTGTGAGACAGAACTACCAAATAGGCTAAGTGCAGTTCCATACTAAAATCACTCAACTTCAAAGGGCACCCTAGCAACAACTGAAGTGACCAATGGGGCCTCGATACTTCGCCTGGAATATACTTTTCCATAAAATAAGGGGGATTACTTTAAAGGCCACCCTGGCAACTGTTGAGATAACCAATGAGGTTTCGGTATTCCGGCTAAAAAGGGAGTTTTTCATAAAATAAAGAGACCTACTTGGTTATCTCATTAGTTGCTAGGGTGGGGGGGGTAGTCTTTAAAGTCATCCATATTTTAAGCTGGTTACCATATCCTATCCTTTGTTCTATAAATTGTATTTCAGATGCGTTCAATGTAGTAGTAAAGTCTCTCTGTGCTTTTACACAAATAATTTAAAGCATTCTGTTCTGTAAAAGATTGTTCACCACCTTCTAGTTAGGTCATGTAAGCGAATGTTTTATCCACAACCTGAACTCTAGAGCATATGATGGACAACTAACCCCCACCCCCCTTCCTTCTGTGTTAAACGCAAACCACTGCATCTGGGTATTTGTTTTTCGCATTAATTTAGTTTTTGTTTTCTATAATTGTTTCTTTTAGCTCAGATTATTTGCTGCTCAAATAAATAATCATTCGATCAATGTAGATAAATCAATCAAATCAGATCCAGGGATTACTAATCAAAATTATCCTCCTATCTCAGAAACTCAGTCAATACTTACATCAGTGATTGGAGGACATATAGGTGATTCAAAGCTATTAGGAAATAACCAAAACATTTTGTTCAATAGTAACATCCCATTATTAGCCAACTTGTCTTCCTCTTTGTCATCCGATTGTAATAACAACACTGTAAACAACTTTACATCTATATATACAGGAGCTAATGAGTTTGCAACATCCATCTTACCTTCATCAGTGATTAGACTGAATCAACCACCTATCCCACCATTAGGCATATCTCCACCGTCAATTTTCCCACAGACATCTTCATCGTCTGCGTCTTTACAACAAACTTTAATGCTATTAGCGTCAGCGGCAACAGGTGGAGGAGTTCCCTTACAACCAGCCTATGCATTAGGCAATTCTGAGGGTAATAACGAGAATCATTTCAATTATTCTGATCTCAGTGCAAAAACTTCATCAAACAGTGGTACAGTCAACCATAACACTTATGAAATGGATGAAAATCTATCTGATTCAAATTATTGTCATAATCTATCTTCATTTCAAAGGATAGTTCTTCCTCCGTTGAAACAAGAAGATATTGATCGGTATAGTGAATTATCTACTGAGGTGGTAACTCAACGAACACGTTCCATGCTTTCACAGTATTCTATTAGTCAGAAGCTTTTTGGTGCACATGTACTCGGTAGGTTTTAAAAAGAAAGTTTCATTTTAAACTGTTATAACAATAATGTAAAAGCTTTTATTTCGAAAGTAAACAGTCGATGTGTTTAACCACTTTCTTTCGTTCTAGTTATGGTAGTCATCTGTACCACCTGCGATATGCTTAACTGCTCGTCTAAGTAGTAAATATAGTACAAGAATTGGTCAACAATCGGTAACCGATGTAGTTTGTTTATTCCTTAAGTCCTTAGCACTGATTGAAGTGTATCGATCAACTTAAGGGACACCACGACGACTGTATTTATGTATTAGATCTCAGAAGCTATTCGACTTGAATAACCCAGTAGTTAAATCTCTGATTTCAGCAATGAGGAGTAAAGGTTCGAACCACTGAGGAGGGGGGCATTAGTTTCCTCACAGTTACAGGCAGATCTGTTGATGATGAATGTCAACAAGCATAAAACTTAGATCCAACAGAACTTCCTGCTGATTAACTCCTAACATCTGATATCACAAGTAAATACACTCAGCTATGCTGTAGTTTGTCTTCCTGTGAGATACAACCATATGACACAGAAGATATCAGGGGATTACACACGCTCTATGTTACATATCTCATATGCAGTAGTACAATCTAGAACACCCACATGACTAGTTCATGTGTTACAAATCCTGAACTAAAGTGCAATGCTACTTTAAGAAATACTGATAATAACCATTTCAAGATATCTCATCAACCTATGAAGACACTGAATATCAGTCCTAATTTACCCACAAACTAGTCATATCTTATTCTCTAGTTTTAATTGTTGTCACTTTAAAGCGACTATGTGGAGTGCACAGCTTGGAGACGTGTACAGTTATTCTACACTTCAATAACATCTCTGTTTGACCTTCAAGAAACTGAGAACCAATTACTTGAAACTCTATTTCATTTATTTTGAGATTAATGGGTATTTTAATTTTGAGGTAGTTTTCATCACGGACTGATATTAATTGGAGAACTATTGAAAACCTGCGAGCACTGGATATCTGTCTTGTCTTAGTATGGGACTTCTCAGCAGTACACACCCAAAACCCGACTAGATGCTGAACTCAGGACCTTCTGGTTTCACGGAGAACGCGTTAACCATTCAATCCCATACCAGGACACAACACCTGTCCAGTACTTCCAGGTTTTCACTGGTTCTGCAGTTGATAACAGTCCGTGATGAAAACTACTTCAAAACGGTATTTTATGTAAATCAAACTAAATCTCAACCTTGGAGGTGGATTCACTGTTTATCCTCCTCAAAATCCTGCATATTTTATTACCCTTTCTTTGTTACTCAAAATGGTGGTCTATTTTTTTAGGACGCTTGTTAGTCGTAATTTCTTTGTCTTTGTCACCTCTTTATCCCGCATAAACGTGTTGCCACGTTAGTCGATGCAGTCTTTGACGACTTCACTTACGAGAGATGTTTCATCATCTCTAAGGTAATGGTAACCGAAGAAATCCCAACACGGATGAGAATGCCTCAACTGGTTTTCATCAACTTGCTCCACACATAACATTGGCAACATATCTGATAGCTGTTAAAAGTTTATCACATAAAAGCGTGCTATGTAGCTATGAGGCATACTCGTTAAAGGCTGAAGATTTAGGAATGCTTCAAGTTATCGACAAACATTGCCCTCGCGCCATATACACTGGCTACCTATCTGCCTATTTCGACCAGTTGCAGAGTAAGCGAACTGTAAATGCTATAAGATCTACTTGGAAAATATTCGTAACACATACCCAAGTCACCTAAGTGGGTGTTTTGATGTAAATTCATTCAGTGAATGACGATCTCCATCACGCCCGAAGTGTTTACTCACATCGCAGTTACTTGCATAACATTTCCACCGGTTGCTAGCAATCCTATAGAGAGAATAGTGGTTGAACATAAAATCATTAGACATATTCAACTTGGCGACATCAGGTTTCACAAACACAGAAAAACTACTTACACCGGTGGTTTGTATACTTGACTTGTTTCAACAAGGGAAAAGTAGAGGCGGTGCCAAGGGTAACTCATGTTGGCAAATATCTCTCTGATTTTTGATAGACGGTTAGAAAACTCATCACCATTTCCAAAAGCATTCCCATGATTACCCGAATACACTAACCTTCTGACAACTTCCAACAGCCTACCAATAGTGAATACAGGTGCACATTCCCACTTATGTTGCAAAAATACATTGCACTTCCACAGCGAAAAGTGATTATCATATCTAAATGTATTTTATTTGAACCGGCTAATGAAACTGCCTTTCGAAGTACTATGCATGGCATTCCAGGTGTTTACAAAGGTTAATCATTGGTGTTTCACCTAATTCATAGGGCGCTTCAGTGACAATCAATACCTCATAACTGAGAACTTAAGGTAAAGCGTCTCACGATCGACTACAGTTTCACAGATGCATTGATTCCTTCTCTTCATTGAAGTCAGGATATTAACTGCCGTTTTTTCTGTTGCTCCTCCGGCTCTCAACAACTGTTCATATTATTTCTATATCCTTCTCTTTGTTAGCTTTTACCTTGATGCACTGGTGTGAGGTGTTGGATCCAGTAATCCCCAAAACTTATGTTGATACTGCCCGCGTCTCACCCTCTGTCTGCTATCTGTGGTGTTCCATGTCTTTTCAAATTAGTCAACATGCTTGCTTTCATTTATAAAAGGGACTACATGAACTGTTGTTAGTATTTGCTTACATTTTCATTGATCACAGGTTTATAAAAATCTTGCCAGTAACTTAATTAGCTCTTTTGTTACTACCATTTGGTAAATAATCTTTCGATTCAATTAGTGAATTGTTTAAAGTAGTAATAATTATCTATCGGTGTTATTTATGCTACCAGCATCCTTTACAATCCATATCGGAAGGTATGATCTGTTTGATTGTGGTGACGTTGGAAAGTTAGGAATCACTGGTTAAAGACTCTTGGTGATATATTAAAGAAAATTGCTCCCAATGACACAGATTTATTTACTGTTTGTCATTTTCAAACTTCTGGAAATTTTTAATAATCATCATTCATTTATTCTTGCTCTTGTCATGTATTTTCGTCGACTGCCGCTAATCCTTGCCGTCTTGTCTTTCTATCTTTCTGCGAGTTCTAGGTTGGATATACTTGTGTAGTTTTTTTTTTTGATAATTTGACGAGTATGTATATAATCGGTCACTATCGTCGTTCCATGGTGTCAGTATCCAAAGACTTCTGGTTAATGCCCTTTAAAGATGTGAATCTTAGATTACCTACTGTCCTTTTTTGTACAGTGTAATGTCTAGTACAGTCTCTCTGTCACAATCCTGCAACATTTAAAGAGCTACACAAAGCTTGAGAATATAGGAAAGTTCCTAGAATAGAAGTGAGTTTAAATTCTTATAGGATTGGGTTAAGTTTATGAATTATTTTACGCACAAACTAAGGCTAACAAATAAGATTTCAATTGTTCCCCTCAAACACAACTTCAGTATTCTCCTAGTATATCTTCCGGACCCCAGCTCTTACTTTTAATCGTTTGACTTTGGACCAATCAGACTTCGCCATACTTTAAAAATTCATTGCCTCATTCATTGGACTAAGTGTTGGCAAAACCGCTAACTAGGATAAAGGATTTTTCAAGTTTGTATTCATCATGGACTGAAATCACCTGGAGGAACATTGGAAACTTGGGAGCACTGGACAGCTGTTTCGTTCTGGTATGGGACTCAGCAGTTCGCACTCACAACCCGCCAGGGGTCGAACCCAGGACCTTCGGGTTCCATGGCCAACAAGTTCCCATTAAGCCACTGGGTCGGAATCCAGTGGTTTATATTTCAAACTTCTATCAGTTCACAACATAGCGCGACCGCCACCCAATGTCATCCTTGAGTATTTGTCCTTACGGCCACGAGGTTTGCCCCACTGGGTGGCTGTCGCACTATGTCGTGAACTGACAGAAGTTGGAAATATGGATCACTGGATTCTGACCCAGTGGCTGGATGGTAACTTGCCGACCACGGAACCTGAACGTTGCGGGTTCGGCCCCTGGCGGGGTCACTGGTGTGCACTGCTGAGGAGTCCCATACTAGAACAAACCAGCTGTCCAGTGTTCCCAGGTTTCCAATGTTCCTCCAACTGATGTCAGTCCATGATGAATACCAACTTGAAAAATCTTTCAGTCCCCACAAACCCCCAAATTCAATAAAGGATTTCTTCCATATTGTATTATATGGAAAGTAGTCATCTGACAATTCTCATGTTGTCTTTTTTCATTCATTTAAAGCATTATACCTTACCTTCATACCATATTATACTACTGCTTTCTATTTTCCAAAATTGACAGGCCTTTCTCAGGGAAGTGTTTCAGATTTACTAACTCGACCGAAACCATGGAAATCGCTCACACAGAAAGGTCGTGAACCGTTTATACGAATGCAATCATTTTTAGACAATCCTGATAGTGTGATAAAATTGTTACAATCATGTAAGTGTCTTTTTTTGCTGATTACCTTCAATCGATTCATATGTCGTACAGATACTATAACTGACATCTGCAATAACAGAAACGATCTGTTGTCACCCAGGATGAGAATGATTGTTTGTTGTATTCTTCAAGCTTTTGATATATTTAATCATGAATGTTTCACCAGCACTTACAATCAATCAGATCGACTAAATCAACGCAGCCCCCCGCACGCAAGTGCATTGATTTCAATTTGCCATACTTCACAGTAGTACAAAAAGAATAGGCGGATCAAAAAAATGATACCAAGGAAGATAAAGTGGTGTGAGAGAATAAGCAATCTGAAGATAACGGTAAGTGCGAATATTCAAGCTCAAGAAGACGTCAAAGAGTGAATACACCTGCGCCATTGTGACCGACGTTCAGAGGTGTCTCCAAGAATTATCAGCTAGTGGTTCTTCACGTTTCGGGGACCCCAACCAATGGTACCTATATTCCACAGCTCCTTAGGGGTTGAGTGTACTACGTAACACTTCACTTTGTCCAACTTCCTGACTGTTAAACAAGGTCATTTAACATGGACGACATGAGAAGGCAACAGGTGTTCGACCACCATTGCCTTTGTAGATTTGCTGCGTGTCATTGAATCATCACTTGAACAATGTGATGGTTAGATAAAAAAAAATGGTAGTAAAGAGAGAGGGAAGTCTGCATATCAGGTTCTTAACCTTCATTGGTTGAGGTGGCTAGGGTTTGGGTACCTATGTCGATACTGAAGATCAGATGGCCTGAAAGAATAAACAATAAGGAACTCTGGTCTGGCAACAAACCAACCAAGAACCCATCGCCCAACAAATATGCAGAAGAAGGAAGTGGAGATGGATTGGGCATACACTGAGAATACAGTTTGGGGACATCACTCACCAGGCCAGACCCTCGAGTGGAAGCTAAATGGGAAACGACTAGTTGGGCGTCCGAGGCGAGGGTGACACGGAGGAGATGGTGTGAGGAAGAAATGAAAGCTTGTGGTCAGTGGTGGAGCGAGGTTGAGGCAGACTACAGAGAAGAGAGTGAAATGGTGACGTGCTACTGAAGCTGTATGTTCCACTAGGAACCCAATGGACAAGTAATTGCAATAATAATAAATATCTAGTCGTCATCTACCTTGACGCAAAATGTTAACTAAGGCGGCATTAGGATGGCAAAAGGTTAATAGCATTGAGATCGAAGTGTAGTATTACGCCATGCATTCTTTGGCTGTTGTTCTTAATTGTATTGGCTTAAGTTTAGAGTCCACAAAACAGATTAAATTGTTGAAGCTGAAAATTAACAAAGTTGCTTACTTACCTTACCTTCGTCCTAATTGTTACACATTGATAAAATAAGTCTCTCAAGTTTTGCATTAACTTTTGGCTTTGTATTGGTTTGGACAATATTTTCAAATGATCATAAAGTAGTTTTCACTGTGTGCATATACATATATGCATTGTAGCTGTCGAAATTTGGTACTGCATGTATGTAGATTTCTTCTTAATTCATTGATTCTTTTGTACAATAATGATGATGGCTTCATTTGAAAGAAAACTTTGTATAGTGACTGTATTAAAAACTGCCAATCTTCGTTGAACTGCTTTACCATACTAAGTCAACTATGAAATCCAACTACTACTTACTTTTCTTATTGTTAACTGCCTTCCACCCTTAAATGATTGCTAACTCAGTTGTTTGCTAGGCGGTTATCGGAACAGAAGGCTATCACTCATCCAAAAGAAGCTTGGTGCCATCTCCAGTCTTCTGTAAAAGCAACGCTGAAGACCATAGCCGACTGAGAAAGTGTGGCTAAAAATAACCCGTGGATGCACGTGAACTCATCCCTACAGGCTCTGAATTCAATGAAGAGCGAGCACAACTTAAAAGTAAACTGAGAAAAAGTCTACGCAACGAACCACGAACAGTGATGGGCATGAAGGCTAAACAGATGGAAAAGGCAGCGGCGATTGGTAACAGTAGACAATTATTTAGACTTATTAAGGAGACTGAGGGGGAAAGGTCAACAACGGTTAGTGAGGCTGTGGTGGAGAAGGACGGATCTGCGATTCACTCGCAGAGGAGACAACTGGAACGATGGGCAGAACACTTCAAGGAACATTTTAACTGGCGTCCAGCCACGATTGCGTTGCCCGCTATCCAGTCGGACTCTGAATGGAACAGTGAAATAGACCCCCCAAAACTAGAAGTCAAGAAGCCTGTAGGTAACTTGAAACGATGAAGGGCAGCAGGACTAGACGGACTAACTCCTGAGGTATACAAAGATGATGGTAAGATGCTCTTAGTCAAGTTGACGAAAGTGTTAATCAGTATATGGGAATCAAATACGATTCTCTCTGACTGGTCTGAATCACTGATTATCCCAGTCTTCAAGAAAGGCGAGACGTCCTCTTGTGATAGCTACAAAGGAATCAGCCTGACGAACATAGTGTCCAAGATCTTAGGTTCTATAATTCTTTGACGTCTGAGTGGAGCTCTGGAACAGGAATCCCGTGAAGACCAGTCAGGCTTTAGACCCTGGCGTGGGTGTACCGACCAAATACTCACACCACGCCAGTTTTCGGAACACACACACACTAACCGACGTCCAACAATAAGTGTATTTCTTGACCTGAAGGCGGCATTCGACTCCGTTGATCGAGAAGTCTTATGGCAATGTCTCTCATTGAAAGGCATGGTGAGTAAGTATATAACCTTATTGAAGGCTTTCTACTCGAACACTTGTGGGCGTGTTAGAGCCTATGGTGAGATGTCCAGGGAGCTATACTCATCGAGTGGTGTACGTCAATTTTATCATAGATATTCTTATGGAGGTCTCCCTCCCGTCACATGATTGCACAGAGGTTGCCGAATTGCAGAAGAATTTTCGTTAGACGTAGAATACACAGATGACATAGTTGTGTAGGTGAAGACGCTGACAAGATGCAGAATCTTCTGGGCACATGGAGTGGCAATTTGGGAATGTTTGAGATGTGTTTTTCACCACCCAAATGTAAAGTGTTGTTCCAGCATTGATGTTCAACGGTGCCACGGCTAACAGTAGAAAGTGAAGTGTTTCAGTGTGTCGACCACTTCACTTACCTGGGAAGTAGGATCAGCCTTACTCTGGTGGCTCAGTGGCCGACGAAATCTCTGCACAAATACAAAAGGTTCAGTTGGCTTTTGCGAATTTACGCTATCTGTGGTGCCGCCGTGATATCCGATTGTCTATTAAGGGTCGCGTGTACTGAACAGCAGTCCGCTCTGTTCTACTGAATGGTTGTGAAACATAGCCATTGAAGGTGGAAGACATGAGAAGGCTTCAAGTGTTTGACCACCGTTGCCTTCATAGTATAGGCTGTATCCTGTGGTGTCACAACGTGAGTAACACAGAAGTCAGATGTAGAGTTTTAGGGGAGGTGAATCAGTTGACACGATTGTGAACCTTCACCGACTTAGATGGCTAGCTGGAACATGTGTTACATATACCTAGTTGCCATCTGCATCGTCACACGATGTTGACAGAAGTCGGTTTAGTCTGGAAAAAGGCTCGGGACGACGAAACTAAAACATGGCATCAATGTATTAAGTGTTTGACTGTTGGTTTGAGCTATGTGGGGAGATGCAGACTAGGTGGTTGGTGTCCACGGGACAAGCTGAACCAGTGGTTGGAGACTCTAGGTGATATTGCTCAGGACTGAAGTTAGTGGTGCAGATGTATACACATATTATCCTCATCTTAACGACGCTATATCGAATCTCACCATTTTCTCATTCTTCTTTCTCTCTTTTCGTACTCTATATTTCCTTTGACTGCATTCTGTTATCTTAATCTTGCACTTCACTGCCTCTTTACTTGATGTACTGATATGAGGTGTGGCAATTTGGACCTTTACGCAGTAATACCTTGTCGTATGTTGATGATGGTGATGATGAATATAGCTTATCTACTGACGTTCTTATTTCTTATTGTTACTATTGTTTCTTTTAAATTTAAAGCTGCTGTCTCCTCACAATTATCTGCTACGCAAAAGGCGTTTCTCAGTACAACATTATGTATACCTGAGTCTACAGGTAATAGTACTAATAGCGCGTATATCCGATCAAACACTAATATTCCTCCTGAGTTTATGATGGATCAAGATCGTTTCACTTGTCAAACTGATCTCATATCTTCACGTGACAATAATAACAGTATGCCAGTATTGACAACATTTAAAGTTATGGATAAGTCAGAAATGTCAAAATCATTTCCGCTAGGTATGTGCTGTTCTTTTTAAGTATTAAAAGTATCCTTAGAATAATTTGTTAAAGTTACTGTTTCACTGTTGTTCACAGTTCCATCAGCAGTTTATCCTTTAGGATTGAACACAAAAGTTTTGTTATGATACTAAGATTGCGCTACCGAATGTGAATCATTGTGTATGTTAATACTTTCAGTCACGGAGTGACTGGAATTCTGTTCAAGTTGAGTAGAATAATAATTGAGATGTTTTCATGGATTGTATAGTGAGTAGGTTATAGAATATTAGGTTCTGACTCAGTGCTTTTTTTTAATAGTAGCTTGTTTATTATTAAGCAAATAGATTATATATTTAACCTCCGGTGACAATAGAGAGTTTGCATTGTCATAGTATTGAATTTCAGTAAAACTTTCTTTTAGTATACCTGGACTACTGTCGTCAATTAATGAAAAATCATTTTCGTTAACAGTTTTCTTTTTTTCATTGGCTCACTTTCGAAAAAAAATTGACTCGAAGTATGGTATACATTGTAGTGGAAAGACGTCATCATCTACATGCTTTCAATTCCCAATGGATAAATTAGATTATTACATTATTTGTTCCTTACAAATCGTGAAATCGAACTCTCTTAAGTTAACTACGAGTATTATTAATCAATCGGTTGGTTAGTGTAGAATATTCACTTTCAACATTTCACCTATAAAAACATACTGCAGTGATAGGACTTCCCTGATACATAGTATGAAAATATTACCGTGTAAGAGCGTTTCGAAAGGAAAACTAATCACCCTTAGACTTAATTAGGTATTTCGGTAGCATGAAATCCCTGTAGTCTGTTAATCATGAATAATATTGTTATTCATAAAATATCATTTGACTATATGAGATTGCTGTAGTTTGGCAGATTAGTATTTATACTGGGTGATTACTGAAGGTAAGATGAAAATCCGACTGCGAACCAAATTTTCATCTCACCTTCAATCATCACCCAGTATCCATCATCATCATCATCATTATCAACATAGGACCAGGCATTACTGCGTAACGGTCCGAGTTGCCACACCTCATATCAGCACATCAAGTAAAAAGGTAGTGAGGTGAAGGATGAAGATAAGTGAATGCAGTCAAAAGAAATATAAAGTATGAGAAGAAAGGAAAGAGGAGTGACAAAATAGTGAGATTCGGTATAGCGTTGTTAAGATGAGGATAATGTGTGTATACATCTGCGCCACTGACTTCGGTTCTGAGCCATATCACCTAGGGTCTCCAACCACTGGTTCCTCTTGTCCCGTGGACCCCAACCACCTAGTCTGCATCGTCCTACATGGCTTAAACCAACAGTCAGAGACTTCATACATTGGTGCCATGTTTTAGTCTGGCCACCTCGGGCCTTTTTCCAGCCTGGACCCACCTCAGCCAACATTGTGTGACGAGGCAATCGGTGACTGGGCATACGTAGTACGTGTCCCAACCATCTCAGTCGATGAAGGTTCACAACCTCGTCGACTGACTTACCTCTTCTCCCTAAAACTCTACACCTAACTTCTGCATTACTCACATGGTGACACCACGGAATACGTCCTATACTACCCAGTATCCATGTAATAATCGATTAAAACAGAGTTTTGATTAGCTCGTTTTTCTAACAGTTACATCTTTCTTCAACTTGATGTGGAGTTATGCTTAATACTGTTGTGTTTTTTTTAAATGTATTTTATTTTCGGTGTAATTTATAGGCACATTCCAGAGTGAAAATATACAATCCAATCAAACCGAGTTAGAAGTCAATACAGATATGCATACACAGCAGTATCATTATCGACAACAACAACAACGATGTATTGATCAGACAATGATGACACCAACAACACCTACATTTTCATTATATGATTCACAGTCGTACTGTGGACAAACAGTCAATTGTTCAGTGTTTGAACCAATCACAAGTCCATCCGGTTCACCTACACCGAATTCTATAGTTCAAAATGAATACGGTAGTGAGAATGAAAACACCTTTTCTTTAGGTAGTAGTAGTTATACTAACAATCATAATGATGATAATATCACTCAAAATTCTAATTTTTATCAAAGACCTTCATCAAAGAAAGTTATAGAGTTGGCAACATCGATTACAGATTTGGATACAACATCTATGTGCAGTAGAATAAAAGAGGTAAGAGAGCAAAGGTTTAGCTAATTGTATTCAAAAGGATTTATCTAATAAAGATGTTTGGTTAACTTATAGCATATCTATGGTGGATAGATTCATAATCGAACCATTTCCTTGAAGGTAGTATTCAACTCTCTGCTCTAATTCTCTCTGTATATATCTGTGTATGATAAGCTTTCTTACCAATGTCGAAAACAATAGTTCGTTATTTTATATCACTGCTATTACTACTGATTATCCTGGCAGTCATCACAGATATTGTCGAATTGATCATTTTATTCACGTGTATTTCTTATGATAACTTATCTCCAAGACAACAGACAGATTTCTAGCCACAAAAAGTTCATCATGATTATTATCATTAGTATTTCACTCTTGTCGTCTCACTTCTGTTTATAAAATAGTTTTTAGTGTGTACATCATCTTAGTTTAGTTTTCCAGTCTTATGTATATCTAACTTCTAATGTCACCATCAAATGATTAGAAGTTTAAAGTGGTTATTGTCAAGTTCCCCTCTTCCAAAAGTTTCAACATTTCACCTGGCATCCATGTTAAACGAATATTTTTTTCTCACTTGTATGCACTTATTTGTTGTTATTGTTCAATTGGGATGCAAATAGTACTTTATATGGTTTTCATTACATTTTTTATTAGCTTTTACAACGGCATTCGATACCACAACGATTATTTGGTGATGTTGTCCTGGGCATGTGTCAAGCATCTGTAAGCGATATTCTGTCGAAAACTCGTCCTTGGTCACAGCTATCTAATAAAGCAAGAATACCTTATGTACGTCTACACTTATGGTTACAAGAGCCTCATCATCTGGAAATGTTGAAGGCTGCTCAAATAAATGTAAAATGTAAGTCATAAAGTTTCTTTCACTGTGCTACTTATTCTTAGAATTGAGCGTCATATTCAATGTGTGTAACTTAACTATTATAAGAAGTATTTTGATGGGAGCAGATTGTTCCATTCCTACAGCTGTTTGTAGATAAATAAGTAAGCTATGAACCATATTTCTATGGTATCATGGACGAACGAGACTAACCAACTAGTTAAATTTCAGTATGTAGAGTAGAGTTAAAACCAATGACTTACTGTTCGAAGTTAACTGACTAGGTTAATGAATTTATGGTAAAGCATAGGGACTTTGGTTAGAAAGATGAATTAGTTAATGAAGTTGCAAGCCTTTATCGCTTGAGGTGTTTTACATGCTAATCTGCCACTTAACTCAAAATCCAAGGTCAAACGAATTACTCAACCGGTATCAACATAGAACTTGGCAATATTGTCAAAGAGCTCAAGTTACCGCACTGCAAATCAATTGGTATCGATTGGACAAAGTTGACTAATACAGAGTTAGGTTGGAAGGAAGCTAAGGCAGAATACTTCAGGACGTGAAGCGTGACCTTTGTTCTGAGCTTTATCGACACATGTAGGCTTTTTGGTTGCAGTCCATCAGATAACTGGGACCGATAGATTGAGATTGCAGGTGATGTAGCTGAGAGTCGATCATATTGATGTAAATGAATGCATATCTTATCTTTATCTCAACTGTTTCATGACATTTTGTTATTTCCCCTACCTTTTTTTTATCTCATAGGTCCCTAAGACTTTTGAATGTTTAGGTTGGAATTCGTCATGGACATCAGTTGGAGGAACATTGGAAACCTGGGAGCACCAGGCAGCTTTTTCATCTTAGTACGGGACTCTTTAGCAGTGCAAACCCATGACCATCAGGTTTCGCGACCAGCACGTTACCAATGAGCTACTTTATCAGAATGCAACGGCCCATATTTCCTACTTCTTTCAGTGCACGATACAGCGCGGTGTAGCTGTCCAATGTTTCTCCAACTGATGTCAGTCCATGACGAATACCGACCTGAAATCAGTAAATAAATCCCTATAATCCTCTAAATAGAATTTATTGTTCCTCATCATGATGAACTTCAACCTAAAATCAATTAATAAACCTCCACAAACCTCCAGATACTTTTGATTATGTTATTGCCATTTATTTTCACCCTTTTGTTGTATGTCATAATGGAACGTAAAGTGTGTCAATTCGACGCTGACAAGATTCAAAGTCTTCTGAACACTTTGAGTGTGAATTTGAGAATGTTTGGGATGCGATTCTCACCATCCAAAAGCAAATGTTTGCTCCAGCATTGGTCTTCAGCGGTGCCACGGCTAACAATGGAGAGTGAAGTGGTTGAGTGTGACGACCACTTCACTTACCTGGGAAGTAGGATCAGCCTTACTCTGGTGGCTCAGTGGCCGACGAAATCTCAGCACAAATACAAAAGGCTCGATTGGTTTTACCAACTTACGCCACCTTTGGCACCACCATGATATCCGTTTGTCGTCTATTAAGAGTCTCGTGTACTGCACAGCAGTCGGGTTTGTTCTACTGTATGGCTGTGAAACATGGGCATTGGAGGTGGAAGACATGAGAAGTCTTCAAGTGTTTGACCACCGTTACCTTCATAGTATAGGTCGTATTCCGTGGAGTCATAATGTGAATTACATAGAAGTCAGATGTAGAGTTTTATGGAGAGGTGAATCAGTTGACACGATTGTGAACCTTCACCGACTGAGATGGCTAACTGGAACATGTGTTATATATACCTAGTTGCCATCTGCATCGTCACACGATGTTGGCCGAAGTAGGTCCAGGCTGGGAACCGGGGCGAGGTGGCCAGACTTGAACATGGCATCAATGTATTAAGTGTTTGACTGTTGGTTTGAGCTATGTGGGGAGATGCAGACTAGGTGGTTGGTGTCCACGGGACAAGCTGAACCAGTGGTTGGAGACTCTAGGTGATATTGCTCAGGACTGAAGTTAGTGGTGCAGATGTATACACATATTATCCTCATCTTAACGACGCTATATCGAATCTCACCATTTTCTCATTCTTCTTTTCTCTCTTTTCGTACTCTATATTTCCTTTGACTACATTCTGTTATCTTAATCTTGCACCTCACTGCCTCTTTACTTGATATACTGATATGAGGTGTGGCAATTTGGACCTTGACGCAGTAAATGCCTGATCTTGTGTTGATATTGATGATGTGTCAATTTGAACAGTTAATTAGTAGGATCAGGTCCTAATTGTCTCTTTGGCATTTGTTTAGTTTTGGTTTGTTTTCTCTTTTATTTTTATCATCATTTTCACCGCTCACTTCATAAATTTCACGAAACTGTTTAACAAATTCATTAATTTTTTTGCAAAGAATTTATAAAAATGTTAGATGAAGGTTATTACAAAATTGATAAGAATTTTGGCATCCATTAACCTTGTTACATATTACCGTGTAAGTACTGTTCACAGTTTTTGCGAAATACATTATTTTCTGCATAAACTGGTCACCAGTGAGAAACTATGTAAAGCTGTCTAATCCACATTATTCAACACTGATTGGAGTTTGTTGCTTATATGCTTTAGTGGCCATATTACGAACTTGATCATCGATAGACTTTGATTAGTGCTCTGAGGACTAGAGACAAGACAAGCTACATAAGTAGTTTCCTATTGGTGATCAACTTGTGTAGATATTTCAGTTTTACGACTGCTCAATCGTGACCTGAATAGGATTGAGCCATAAAGTCTTTAACTTCGACGCCGAAGGATGTAGGCTTGAATTGCTAAAAGGAATATCAGTTTCCTCGTGATTACAGATGCATCCTACTTGATGAATGCCAACAAACACAACCCTAAGTTCAAAACTAATTTGAGGGTAAAGCTTGGGTATTACGGTAGACTGTAATTTCATTTTAGCCTCTTTATTGGATATATCACCTATTGGGTTATAAATAGTACTGTAGTGGGCGTCGGCGCTGCTGGTCAAAGTGGATATAAGTAGTACATAGTGAAAGGGTGGCAAAAATCATGGGGTAGAGATTCTGCCCAAAGAAACGCAAGAGATAATGTGGGCGTATTAAAAGCAAATCAAGATAGAAGCAGAAGAGAAAATGCAACATTATGCAAATGACTGTCTTAATGGAAAGTGGACAAGATGTCAATAATGAACATTCCTTCCTTCATCTCCGTCTTGTCATTTCCTACAGTACCATTTCACTGTGTGATGCACGTAGATAGATAAACTCAAATAAGTTCAAAACTTTGTGTTTCTTTACTTATACTTCATGGCTGGCTTGTTATTCTAACACAGTATATTTATTACCTCAGTCATCTTCATATTCAAGCAAAAAAGAAAGGTGAATGATAATCGATCATTTCAGGTTAAGCTTTCTTAGCTTGCAGATATAGATAATTTTTCATACATTGTATCTCAATGACACAGGTTTGCAGATATTCAACTTTCAACATTACGCAACTATCATAGAAATGGGTATTACTACCTCGCTTCATATCAGTATATCGAGGAAGGAGTAGTCAACAAATGGAGGTGCAGAAAAAAAGAAAACAATCAAAATTTATTCTAAGAAATTACAGGAGATCAACCATCTATTTCAGTTGTCAATCTGGGTTTCCCCCCCCCCCCTCCTTTTTTTTCTCATACAGTTCAAATTACCAGTCAGAGATTTCATCGACTAAAGCTATTTCTTGGTTTGTCCACTCTTCATATTTTCTAACATAATTCTACTGTGTATAATAGGACACATTAAGGCAGACATTGAATGAGCATGTGCAATGTACATCCTAATCACACCGATCAATACAGTTTCACCATTCCCTTACCTCTTCTTGGTAACCTGTAAACTGCTTACGTGATAGTTAAATTAGACGCTGAGGAGACTACTAAGCGGATGCTAGTTACATGCATGAAGGCTTCACAGATGAACCTTTTGTATCCGTACCAAAACCCTATTGACAACTAATCCACCTGTGTTCGTATTACTTCTGAAGCAGTTGTGGTGACCAACGTGTTTGAACACTTCTCTTCGTATTGTTAGATGAGTTGTTGGTTAAAACCGACCAGACAGACTGGTACCCGACTATCCTATCCTAGCCTTCATTCTTTGGCTAAATAATTTTGAAGTACTATTTTTAAAGACTTCATTTGACATTCCATTAAAGTCCTATGTCCTCCCAGCTTTTTAGGTTACTATAGCTTTATCAGCTTCATCAAAAAAGGCGAAACTTTATGTTGATTTCGTGTTCAGACTGTGACTAAGTTTTAGACGAACTGAACAGTAGCTGAAGGTTATATGAATTGTTCCTCAAAATATTCTTCCCATTGTTTTAGTCATCTTCCATCTAAATGAATTACTGATCCGTGTTTTAGAATTTAGTATCAGTGAGTGCTAACTTTTTCACATCAGTTTACGTAATAAGTGTTCATCTATCTACTGTTTTGTGCAGCTACTCAGCTTTTACTGTCCATCATCTCTTATAGTCACTATATTGACTCTTTATTACTCCATTTTTAAGGTACTTTTTCTCAGTGTTCTTTAAGTTTGCTAGAAGGCATTTCTGTTTATCTATTAACTCGAAAAAAGTTCATGAAAAATTTCTGTCTCTTCTACCTTGTTTCTTGTGTACTGACCGCCAAGTTTTAACCTAAACAGCTAATTTTTACTACCGAGTAGTGTTTATATCATAATTTACCATACAATAGCTGTTAGTTGGTTAGTGTAGAATCTGCAGGTAAGCTTTGCATCTAGATCTGGTGCTTGACTGGTGTTCGTCAAAAAGACGTGTCTACAACTTCGAGGAATTTGATATCCCCTCAAAGATTGCAAACCGAACCGCCTAACATCAATCAAAGTACGCCGCTATGTTGAGTCTCTTAGTTTGGTAACCAGGTTGAGAAATGATCACTAGGCTTTCGGTCATTACATTAAATTGGTTACTCTGTCCTATAAACCTATCAATGTATACAATAGGTGTAACTTACAGTCTTATCAACCAATCTACATCCAAATTATATTACCCTCTGGTTAAAATGTTTACACTGGTTGCTTCATTTTTGTTTTATTAATCAACCCTGACTTGGTTATATTCACTGGTTTATATGTTTATCAGTCATACTATTTAATCACTTAACTAATACTAGTCAATTCACTTTTTTGGTCGAATTTCCTAATAAACACAAACCACATATGATTTTGATCGGTGATCTTGGCAAACAATAATACTATGATCTTCATAAAACAGTATCAATTATAGTCAATTAAGTCAAACGATGTTCATAAACACAATGTATTTCAGGTCTGCCTCCTATTCAATCATTATCACTGCATACATTTTTCAGAATTATTTCTCAGGCAGGATGTATTTACCGAGGAAAGATTCATTATTCTCCCCTAAGTGTACTCCTTCTTCTTACTTCATAACTATGAGACATCCCCTTTAAAGTGTAAAGACATGCAGAGGTATTACTCACTTGAAGTGAAACAATTGAGGTCATGTTATTACTAAACTGTTCAGAAGTAGGATACAAAAGCTGTTTCTAAGGGCAGAAGGTCATGGTAAGGCTAAGAAGTGCACGTAATGTTTTTTGACCACTAAGATCAAATTAAGGGTTATGAATTACCAGTGATTCGGTTATGGTATAGATGACGTAATCGAAGTCCTTTGGAACTCTGGGAAGCACTCAGTAAATCACATGGAAGCAAATAAATGTCCGAAGATAAAGTGCTCAAGAATACAGTTATTGATACTCCTGCTCTCTCCTTTACATAACGAAGTTGGATAGTATCTCAAAATAGCTTCATGGATTTGACGCTGTGTATGACCATTGTTCGTCACTCTACAGGAACAAGTAAACTGGACAGATGCTCATAAGGGTAGTTGAAGATGGTATTCTGTTCTGAACAAACTGATGGATAAATTGTTTACCGAAGAATGTTATTCTCAAGCTACTTGCATGAAATATCTTCCTCAAAGATCTGGGGACGCGACTTTTAAAAATTTCAGCTGGAACGTGTTGTCTTTGAATTCCTGACTGACACTGATATGATCAACGTAGAACCTTGGACACAGGTGCATCGGCTCAAGTTACCACACTACATAGTAGTAGAAAAGCAGGTGCATAGAAAAGGAGTGATATCAAAGAAGATAAAGTAGGGTGAGAGAATAGGCAGTCTGAAGATTAGGGTTAGCATGAATATTCAAGCTATAGAAGATGTTATAGAATGAATACATCGGCGCCATTATGACCGGTTTTCAGCCATGTCACCAAGTATCCTCAACCACGGAATCCTTTCGTTTTCAGGACCCCTATCAGGCAGTTTACATCTCCCCATATTGTTTAGACCTGTAGTTAGGGACTCCATTGATTAGTACCACAACTTGGTCTGACCACTCTGAGTCCTATTCCAACTTAATGCAACTCCCCCTAACATGGCACGGTGAGGTAGGCGGTGGTTGGTCATGCACAGTGCATGTCCAAGCCATCTCAGCCGATCAAGGTTCACAATCTGATCAGTCGACTTGCGTATTTTGCTTAGTACTCTTAGTACTCAACATCGCTCACACGGTGACTCCACCAAATACGAGCAATACTAAGAAGACACCTATAGTCAAAACCCTGTAACCGCTTCATGTCTCCTACTTTTAACCGTCATGTCTCGCAGGCGTATAACAGAACAGAACGGACTGCAGTGCAGTATACTTATCCTTCGATAGTTAGTAGGCAAGTTAGCAAATGTCAAATGGGCCTTCTGTGTCCGTACTGAGATTTCACCAGCAACCAACCCGTTTGGGCTGATGCAACTCCCCAAGTAAGTGAAGTGGTCGAAAAATTCCACCACTTGACTCCGTATCATTAAACTGGGAGTACTTGCAATAGACCAATCCTGGAGCATCACCTTACATTTGACACGTACTTAACGCCTGCCAAACATACACAGAATTCTGCTCAACGCGTTCACAAGACCCTGCATTCTGTTAGCGTCCTCACCTAGCAGAATAATATCGTCTGCATTTTCCAAGTCAGCCAGATGTCTTTTAGGGAGAAGGTCCATCTCTGTGAAACCAGAGGAACCTAAGGCTATGTCCATTCGTACATATATGACTAAATTAAATACGAATGGTGACAGTGGACATCCTTGGCGGACACCACTGGTTATCAATTCCGAAGACAACTCTTTATAAGCCCTTACATGTCTGCATGAGTTCAAGCAGAGAGCTTCGACTAGCGTTATATATTTTCTCGGTACTGCCTTCACAGTCAGACATTGTTACAACACCTCAGAGTCGATAGAGTCAAATGCAGCCTTCAGGCCAAGAAGGATGGTAAGTGTTGACCTTTGACTGGTGAGTATGCCTTCTTTCCAGAACCTGTCAGCGGACTAAAATATAATCAATGCACTCTCCTCCAGCTCTGACTAAAACCTGCCTGATTCTCTCGAGTTTGCTGTTCTCAAACTCCAGTTAGGCGTCGGATGATGATGGATCCAAGGATCTTAGACACAATGTTAGTCAAAGTAATTCTCTTATGGTTATCCTAAGAAGACTTCTCTCCTTTCTTATAGACTAGGATGGTCAGTGAAGCACATCAATCTGCCGGGACTACCTCTAATTCCTATACACTACCTAGTACCTCCGTTACTTTAAGCGGCAATCTCCTATCTGCATCCTTGAAAACTTCAGGTGACAAACTGTCAGATCCTGCTTCTTTCCATCGTTCCAGGTTCGATACTGCTTTCCCATCTTCAAGGAGAGTTAAAGAACCGGCACGTGCGTTCCACTTAGGTTCTCTCTGGCTGGATGTTGAGCAACTAAAACGTGGCTGTGGGCCAGCTGAACTGTATTCCAAAGTGTTCTGTCCAACGTTCTAGTCGCTAACTCCTCTCTACATACCTATTTGACATCCTCACCTGTCAACCGAGCTTCACTACCTCCTGTTTCCTGCTTTCAGTAAGACCTGGACAAACATGAGCCCGTACTGGCCCGTCATCGGAGTCCAGAAAAAGTGACAATCCTCTACCAATCCTCTCCAGCGATAGCTTATAGCAATGTAATCTATCAGTGTTCATCGTTGGTTTGAAGTTGGCGGATAACATGTGAGACAGTGTCTCCCCTTATGCCTAAAGCTGGTATTGACCAGAAACAAGTGATTGTCAGAGCAAACTGCAAGAGACAATCACCGTCATTGGTTCATTGGTGGAGGATTCCGTAAATATCACCAATATGCCTTTCTGATTGGCTCAGTTTTCCCTACTTGAGTGTTAAAGTCACCTGCCGCTATGACTACATCTGAACGCTTTGTTTTCTGTAGCAAAATTGATAGCTGATGATAGGATTCATCCTTTACACCATCCGAACTGCAGTTGGTGGGTGTGTAGGTGGAGATTCTGTTACCTACAGATTCATTCAATCGCACAGCACATAGACGGCTGTTTACTGGAAACCAGTCGATAAATGCACTTTCTTCTCTACAACTGAATGCTATGCCTACACCAGCGTGTGCACGTTAGGTGAATTTTTATGAATCACTACTATGGTCATGTGAGGTTCATCTAATAACCACACTCGACTCTTGTAAACGTGTCTCAAAAACACAGCATTCATCCATGGCTAGAGATTCTAAAGTTTTATGTGACACTGCAGGTCACACCCCACCTAGCTAGCAGCAGTAAGACTTCATCATCAGACCATCAAACATAATTTAGTAATTTACACTACAATGGTAACTAGTTTTCGTTTTACTAGTATCCAACAGACCTTTCTGGCATTGTAGGATCTCTAGTGAACAAGCGTTCCATCAGCATAGCTTGTTCAGTCATTTTGATATAACAAGTCTGACTACCACATCAAGGTAGCAACTATGGATCGGATCTTTGAATTACAAGTTGTTTCACACGACTTTCACTGAGATCTTCGATAAATTTTGTATTTTTGGCTTTTTTTTTCATGTTGAACTCAATGAATTAAAGTAGATATCTGTTTTCTAGTAAGATGTTACGTAAAAATTTTAACTCATAATAGTATATCTTCAAAACAGATCTTTCGAGTACATGGATATAACAGACGTGCAAGTTTCTGTTTGCTAATAAAGGGTATGGTTGATAAGATTGTGTAGTTTATATTGGTTTTCCGTACGTGATGAGAGTATTAACATTATCAGCCAATCGAAAACGCATATCATTATGATAAAATGAATTTGTATGTATTCGAAATTCACTAACCTTGTCTTTTTGTTGGTTTCATTTTATTCCAGCTGCCACACGTCCCAATAATAATAATAATAATAATAATTCGAAGGTGATTGACGGATTTCCAACAAATTCATTAAATGAAACATTTTCATGTAATAACAATGTATTAAGTTCACAAACATCAGATTCATTCAATGGGCAGGTGTCATCGACTAAACTGGATCCACAATTACTTCTTGGAGTATCCCCAGACATAGACAGTAGATCACAACCGCAATTGTCATCATCGTCATCATTATTATCAATGAAGGTGACAACAACATCAGCAGTGATAAACACCACCACTATTACTACTACTACTACTACTACTACTACTACTACTACTACTACTGCCACTCCTGCTGCTGCTTCATCAACTCGTAAACGTGTTCCATCTTTATCATTAAATCAAGAAAGTTGTATAAATTCACCTAATTCTTCGAATAAAAATTGTAAATTATTAAAAATCGACTCATCTCAACTAATATTACCGTCACCAAATAATAAATCAAAGCAAACAACACATTCATCACAAGCACCAATAGACGAATTGAATGAATATGAACGTCAGAGTTTATTTGATATCGCTAAAGCTGCTACAGCAGCAATGCTATTAGCATCCAATTCGAATAAGATCAAACCAAAAGTTCCTATATCACCTGTTCGTAATATTAAAAGAAATAGTACTAACATGAAGTATAGTAAAGTAATAACTCCAAATAGTAAATTTATTGATACCTCAAAAAGAAATCTACATCAAGGTATTAGTGCATCACAGAAGAAAGTGTTAATATCAGCGTGTAGAAATCAGTTAAATTTATCATCTACACAGATAATGAAATCACTTGCTCAAGATTTAAGTCTTCCTTATAAAACGGTTAGTTTTGTTTTATGATGTGTATTTCTATTTTTCTTTTTACGAAAGGTATGTTCTATATTTTCATGAAGTTAGAAAGTTGACTTTCAATCTAGTGGGTCATGTGTGTTCGAACCCCGCTTCCTTTACTAAGTCTTGGACAGCCAGGTAGTATTATAAGTCCTCCTCCCCACACCAAAGGTGGTATGGCTCATTGCCTACTGCATGAAAGTGCACAGGATTGCTAAGTGTGTAGTATAGTACTATGCATCTTTGTGGATTAAATCGTTGCAAGATTTTCAGTGTATTATGATTCACGTATCATGAATTTATAAGACAATATGAATGAAGAATATTCATTTTCAAGGAATTCTATTCAGGTTCTACAGTTATTATAATATTGTAGGATCTGTCATGATATAGACCAAGTCGACAGAAAATACACTTTTCAAAATGAAGTATGAGTTCTCGATATTAAGTGGATTAACTTTTGCTTGACGTATCAGCGTATATCAAACGGAATGGTGAATTCATTATGACTATCTGAGATAACTGTGGTTTGGCAGACTAGTATTGGTACTTGGTGATGATTGAAGGTGAAATGAAAATTTGGACCGCGGCCTGATTCGAACCAGCAACCACTGGGTTTCCAGTGGACCTCATAGGTCAGTTGGTAGAGCGTCGGGCCGGGAACCCGGTGGCCGCTGGTTCGAATCCGGCTGGGGTCCAAATTTTTATTTCACCTTCAATCATCAGCCGGTATGAATTCATTATGAGATAGTAGATGGTTTCAAACCTATGATTATATAATCATAACAAGTATATGCAATGCAGAGGGAGGAAAATCATATTATAAGTCGGTTGTAGTATATTTATTGGATAGCTAGTCAGTATAAATAGAGAGGTAATAGAATCACTGAGGTGAAACATTGAGAAATAACAGAGAAAGAAATTTAAAGTGATAGAAAATCGTAAACCGAGGAGGGGGGGGGAAAGTGGTTAAGCAAACAACCGAATTCAATATGATAACGATTTACATGAAGATAACGTCTGCATCCATTTGCGTTGCTGAGATCGATTTCGGACTATACCATGGATTTTGGTTGTCATGTGGACCCTGACTGGAAAGTCTACAGTCTCCTACACAGTTCAGACCAATGGTCAATGACATTATGAATCGATACCAGAATGAAGAAACTGGCGTTGGTGTTAATCTGTGCATAAAATTGACGACAACAACACCAACAAAAAGAAAGAATTATAGAAGATTTCGATATTATAGCTTATAATACGCTGTCGTTGGTTGGACTGAATTAATCGACCATTATTGGTATATGGGCTCCTGCGCGTATGCCTCGATATTGCCGGTATTTCCAGTTTGATATTGATGATGAGTAGTAGTGTTAACAATGGAATCCAGGACGCGTTTTTCGTTCTATTTGTGACTCGTCAGCCGGGTGCACCTCCCTCATATTGAGTGATATTGTTTTCACCGGGACTCGGACCTAGGACCAATCGCCTCAAGCACCAAAACGTTATGCACTTGACCGCTGAGTGGCGGTAGCCACTTCTTGTGCGACGGGTATAGTATAGTTTAAATATTATGGCTTGTGGATAAAGCTCTGGCGTTTGAAGTGATTGGTCCTGGGTTTGAGTCCCAGTGGGAACAACATCACTCACCCAGCTGACGAGTCCCAGACGGGACGAAATACACGTCCTGAGTTCCACTGCTGTCTGCTACCCATCATTATTTATGAAGGATTGTTAGAATAACGAAGGCAATAAAAACATCAAGGTTCACATTGTCAGTATAAGGAGGAAAAACAGGAATGTGTTTATTAGGTAAGCTACCTTAGAACTTTTCACCTCTTTGACCTCACATTTTCCAAACCGAAGTGGCAAATGTCTTCATGTCTGGATATAGCCTATCGAACACATACGATAAACTTCAACTATGTTATTACGTTCCCTTCTCCTATACCCTCCAATATTTGTTATGACTATTCATTAGTCGCCGTTTTGACATCATCTGCTGGCAAATTTCAAATGGATTTCCTCAATATCCAGAACTCTCTCTCTCTCTCACACACACACACACACCCATACACTGTTTTGAGAAACGTATTTGCCGTAAACGGCATACACTGAGAAGGCCGACTGGGGACATCACGTGCCAGGCCCTCGAGTGGAATCCAAAGGGGAAACGACGATTTGGGCGTCCGAAGGTGACATGGAGGAGATCATGCGAGGAAGAAAAAGGAACCCAAGGGAAAATAATTAATTATAACAATTCGCCGCAAACGACCTGTATTAAGGAACTGTATTTAATAACTGTAGACTCTGTAGGGAATTCATTGAAAAGAATATTCGTCATTCATATTATTGCTTTAATTACAGTCGACTTGCATTATCCGTCTAACTACGTTTAATATTCTGTAAGGGGTGGGTGGGTGGGGGGCTAACTACTTTAGTAGAATAAATCGACAAAGGAATGCTGATCATCATATAGACAGTTTTCATTGCATATTTGAACTTTCATTATTTACACCTACACGATTTGTTCGCTTGATGTCTAGTAAAGTATAAAATTTAATCCATAGTAGATTAGTTTATTACATAATTATTTACTAGATGATGTTTCGAGCACAGTTTATTGCTCATATTCATTCCGAGGTAATCACAGGACTTCCTGTCATAGTTTTTTATACTTCTTATGCTCTTTTCATTATTTGATTTGATTGATAGTAGGAGTTTTGCATATATCTGAAATCATTGTTGAATGATTCCTATTACAGGTGTTAGACGTTGAACGACGAACAGAGAATCAATAATCAACCCTTTTGCACTTAACTATATGAGTTTTTAAGACTTTTACCCTCTCCAGCCTTATTTCGTGGTAATCTGACATCTCGCTGGCAACAGCGATGACGTAACTTAACAAGTGCCTAATGGACATTTTATGTCTGAACTGAAATGTCGTCAGCAGCTAATCGATTTTCACTAGTTCAACTGTTCATGTAAATGAAGTGGTCAATGATGTGTACCATTTTATCCCCTATTCTTAATCTGTGAGTAGCTGCGGACCATTGCTGAAGCGTCGTCTCACATTTAAGAGTTACGAAACGCATCCCAAGTATATTGAGATTTCTACTTCAGACGTTCAGAAGACCCTGCATTTTGTCAGCATCTTTGTCTAACAGGACAATGTTGTCTGTATATGATCCAAGTTAACCAGATGCCCTCTAGGAGTAGGTCGGTCTCATGTGAAGTGGGAGGTACTTAAGGTTATCTCCATTGATGCATCTACAATGAAGTTGAACAAAAACGTCGACAGTGAATATTCTTCAAGAGCGGCACTTGTTGTCACTGAAGCAAACTAGAGAAGCTTGACTTTTTAATAACTATCCTACCAAACCAATGAGTCACGCTCTACTTACCGAGGCTTGATCAGCTACCTATTGTCACTAGCCTTCACACAACTGGTGTGGCTAATTACCTACTTTACGAATATGAACAAGGTTACTGTGTGTGCCTCCTTCCTCCTTCCTAATAAATTTATCCACGAATGCATAGTGATGTATGCATAGAAAAAACAATGATGTGAGCGATGATTTTGACGTAACCTGGAATGAATTCAAGGCCTCTGTAGTGTTGCCGCATGAGGAAGGGACATCGTGAAGCCTATGTAAAATTCTCAATAAGGCTGGAATTATGGTAGTATTTAAAGCTAAAAATTCATTCAGAGATAAACTTCTTCCGATCAAGGATTCTATTGCCCCAATTGAACAAAACAATTCAATTTTCCAAATACTTTGTAATGAGTGTGAAATCAAGTACACAGAGGTCAAACTACCCAATCAGGGTCAATCAGGTTACCAGAAACCTAGCTAATTCTTGATTGATAGACCTCACTAAAATAAGTATTCAGGAGGAGAATTTAGCTATAGCTATGTGCGCCACCTCTGTTAAGAATTCTACGTAAAATTTCCGATGTATCTTCTTTATATGGTAACACCACAGAGGATTTGAATTCCCTCTTAGGCATGTTCTGTTCACCGTTACCAACATAACCACTCCTTCTCTTATCAGCCCTTATAAACTTTTTAATAAATTTTGAAGGGTAGTTGTTGTGATGTATTGTGGGGCACAGGTTCTCAGTGATCATCAAAATCAGCACAGGACCAGGCATTACTGCGTAATAGTCCAAGTTACCACACCTCATACCAGCACACCAAGTAAAAAGGCAGTAGCGAAATGGAAGACGAAAAGAGAAAGAAATATCAGCCAAAGGAAGTAGAAGTAGAAAGTGGAAGAAAGGAAGAATGAGAAGATAATGAAGTTAAGTACAGCGGTTAAGATGAGGATAATGTGTGTGTGTGTGTGTGTGTGTGTGTGTGTGTGTGTGTGTGTGTGTGTGTGTGTGTGAATCTGCACCACTGACATCGGTTCTGAGCCATATCACCCAGAGTCTCCAGCCACTGGTTTATCTCGTCCCGCGGACCCCAACCGGCTGTTTCTGCATTTCTCTACATGGCCCAAACGAACAGTTAAGGACGTCATACATTGATGCCATGTTTTAGTCTGGCGGCCGCCAGTTTTTTCCAGCCTGAACCTACTTCGGCCAAAATTATATGACGAGGCAGACGGTGGTTAGGCATACGTAACGTATATCCAAGCCATCTCAGTCGATAAAGGTTCACAACAACATCAACTGCCTTACCTCTCTTGACTAAAACTCTACGCCTGACTTCTGCGTTACTCATACGATGACACCACGAAACACGACTTATGCCACGAAGGCAACAACGGTCAAACACCTCAAGCCTTCTCATGTATTTCACTTTTAATGGCCCTGTTTCACAGCGATCCAGTAGAACAGAGTGGACTAATCTGCAGTACACTGAACTCTTAATATACAATCGGATGTCACTGCAATACCACAGATGGCATAAGTTGGCAAAAGCCAACCGAGCCTCTTGTATTTGTGCAGAGGTTTCATCGGCCACTGGGCCATTAGGGCTGATCCCACTTCCCAGGTGAGCGAAGTGTCCAATGCTCTCAACGACTTCACTCTCTATCGTCAGTCTGGTTATCGTTGAAAACCAGTTCTGAAGCAACAATTTCCACTTGGATGGCGAGAAACGCATCCCAAACATTCTCAAATTGGCACTCAAAGTATCGAGAAGACTCTGCATCTTGTTAGCGTCTTCAGCTAACACAACTGTCATCTGTGTATTCTAGGTCTAACGAAAATTCTCCTGTGATCGGGTCAATCTCTGTGTGGTCAGATGATGAAAGGGAAACCCCGTATCAGAATATCTATGGTAAAACTGAATAGGAGTGGAGAGAGTAAGCATTCTTTGTGGACATCACTCGACGTACACAACTCACCCATAACTCACCATAGGCTCTAACACGCCCATAGGTGTTCGAGTAGGGAGCCTTCAATAAAGTGATGTACTTACTCGATACCGTTTTCAATGAGAGACACTGTCATAAAACTTCTCGATCGATGAAGTCGAATGCCGCCTTCAGTGGTTTTACAGAAGTAAATTTCGGAAACTCTTACACGAATAAGCTTTAATTATGAACAAAATATTTCTCTTCATCAAACCAGGAACATTATCAATGCAACTCTACTTTAAAACGTTTATCTCCCATGGGATAATAACTCATTATTTCACCTGCATGATTTCCAACCGGTAATCAAGAACTGCTTCATTTTTAAATCAGCAATCCTGTGGAATTTTCATCCACTTGATGATGAATGCACCCACTGAGCGATAGGATCACCCTCTGGTTGTCGAATGGTGTTTTAACCTGGTTGAAAGTCAAATATCTAGTCTAATAAGCCACTTCTGCCCGTCTCTTTACTGACTAAAGTTTGAACAGCTTGACAGAATCATTGTCACGCATATACCTTAGATGTAGTTCAGAAATACATTACTTTCTTTTTATGAAACTCACTTTTCATTCTAACCTATTTCAGGTTTATAATTGGATACATGATTATCAAACAAGTGACCGAGCAAAAAGTCGAATGGAAACTGAAAGTGATTCAGACGTAGAACGTGTGAGTGATCATTCCATTGAAGCATCAAATAATGATAAATCATCCGCTAACTTTACTTCTGATGAAAAAACAATAACAATCCAACCATCATCCAATAGAAGTATACATAAACAAACACAAAATCGACGTAAACCAGTGAACCCTACTAGATTAGCAGCTTGTGCAGTAGTCAATTCACCTAATAATTCTTTACATGATAGTCTAACCAATAAAAAAGAACATGGAAGTCCAGTAGTCCCCGTGACATAAAATCATGTATGTAAATGAAAGTACACTTTACATGTTTAAACTATACATTATTTAGAAATTTTCCCTAAATAAAATCAGGGTCAATTTTTGATGTATTAAACACATACATAAATGCATTTGATAATCTTATTGTTATTATTGTTACTAATTTTTCACTATTCATCTATTCTTTACCGGTGAAATTCAATCATGCTTTTGTCCTATTTTTCCGACTTTTCTATCATTCTATAATTATTATTATAATTCACTAGAAGCTCTGAAGAAAAAAAAACTGTAAATTCAAACGTTCCATTTTCAATGGTGTTTTTCTTTTCTTTTTTTTTGTAGCATTAAAGTTGGATTCTTTTAAATTAATCTACGTATATAGATATTTTCATACCATATTTTCTTCTTTGAAGGAAAAAGTATCATACTACTTTTTTCCATATACTAACATATATGTACTTAAATGTTCATCAGATTTTTTATGCGTTATAAGTTACTGTAATAAGTGTTCACACTTATCTGATTTCTTTTTACACTTTCTATCCTGAGATGTCAAAGTATTCAATTGTTCAATGTGTTTATTTATTTTAATCATTGTTTATATGTATTGGCGGTATATATATGTTCTCTTGTATTTTATTTTATTGATATATATGCCTCTATTTTGATTAATTATGTATGTGTGAGATGTATTTTTTTACTCATAAGAATTAAGATTGTTAAACTGTCAGTTGTACTTTTTTTTTTCTCTTTCTTTTTTAATTAATGAACTCCAACTAGTTTTAAAACTTACCATGCTAATTATGTATTTGATTATCGCTAATATTGTTATCATCCCGACTAATTTATTATTTCCTCTTTTCGTCTATATTGTCATTGTATTGGCATACTACTACTAATATTATTGGTCATCCAGTCAGTGCATTTGTGCTTTAAGCGTTTCAGTATTTCTTTTCACAGCCTCCATATGGCTAATTTGTGCATATATTTATATATACATACATATAAATATATAACGAACGAAGTTTTCTGAATTTCTTCTTTTATACATATATGTTTGCTTAAACTCTTTTTGTTTTAATGGTTAGCTTAAATGTATTTGTGTCTGTATATGTGTGTCTGTGTGAAAGCAACTCTGTTCCAATGACATTATGGTTTTGTTTGAAAATAGTTCTCTTCTATCAATACAAATCTCGATCTGAAACAAACTTAAGCAATGCTCAATCTCAGGCATGAGTTATTTTACTGGAGCGATCGGTGGTGATCAACTTTGAGTACGCAGGTGACATTGTTTTCAGGCGAAGATAATGATGAGATTTAAGTACTTCCAAATGTTATTACTCAAAGCATGCGTAAGGTTACCATGTATTCTAAGATTATTCTTCAGTGCTAATATGTGCCGAAATGTAGTTTAAAGATGTTGAAAAATTGGTGGTAATATTGAACACCTATTTTGGAAGTTACAAAAGCTTAGAATACGTACATGATAACAAAATCTTGGTATGAGTACAACGGACTAACCCGGCGTTTCCCAGTTTGCAGCAATGAAGCATCTAAAAATTTATTGGTGGATATGCAACAGTCCTTTCTCTCTGTTTATCTGTACAATTGTTTAAATTATGTGAAGGCAAAAGATTATAGGTTTTCTCGCATATTTGTCACTATAGCATTTCTGTCATGTAATGAAACCACAAGATGCTTTGCATTAAGATTTGGTTGTCAGTGTTAGCCATGTGAGGTAAGTCTGCGCATGAGGTTGTGGACTTACTACAACTAAGGCAGTGAACCTTCATCAACTAAGGTCTCTGGGATATAAGCTACACATGACGAAGCCTGATCCACCGGGATCGCACAGTGTTAGACGAATTTGGATGAGGTTTTAAGAAAATCAAAAGCAGTAAGACCATGATGTTGAGACTAGTCAATAAAGTTTCTAACGAGATGTTGGTTGGTTGGAGGCAATCGGCAGGAAGCCCTGGACCTAGGTTTCGTACCTGTTGGCAACCTTCAGCAAGGCATATCTGCGACTCCAATCGAACTGATGTCCCACCTGAGATTCGAATCCGCGTCACCCAGTGTTATAGTCAGCGACTTTACCACTGAACTATTCGGGCCGCGACTGGCCTCCTGGGTTACATGTGTTGATTGGTCACAGCAGCGTAACCAAAAAGCACGAAACCCAGATCCCTAGACCTCCTGCCGATTGCTTCCAACCAACTAACACCTATTGATGTGCACCGCGGTGCTGAGTCTCCTAGTTTGGTGACCACATTGCAAATATGATCTATAGGATTCGATCTGCACTCAGGACTGCACAACGTAAAAGTTTCTTACTGTTCGTCATAGCCGTGTTCCTAAATATGACTCTCATGGTTTGGTGCCACCCAACAACGAGGGCAGATGGTTGGAAATTTTAGGTGATATGACTCACTTCCAGTGGTGCACCTACATCTATACTTGATCCTCATGTAAATTGTAACGGCGTCCACCTTTACTCCCTTTATCGCATGGTTTTCTTGACTGCCGTTTTTTTTTCTGTCTTTCCTATTGTTGGTTTCCTTCTCAGTATGAAATTTGTGAGGTAATCTGCTGAACTTTTACGTAAGTTTCTACCTTTGGGATTATTTTCGGTAGTAAATGAAGCCCACATTCAAATGAAAGGGCACAGAAGGATAAAGTTTTAACAACAGAATCAAATTGATATCACACTGATCAATACACACAGAACACAAGGTAACAACATTCTTTAGTGGGGAATAGGATATTTATGGCACCCAATACTGGTCAACCCTAGTCCAAATACATCTGGTGAGTGAACTCACGTAGATCGAGAGTGAGGATATTTTTGCACGTTGCAGTTTAGTTGCGATATGTGCCGTGAGTTATCTATTATCAACACATCGAATATGGATTACACCTATATTTCCTTCATTTTGTTTGCCATGCTGCTCTATCCCTAAGTTGCCTGGACAGGATATTCAAAACGCTTGGGAAGCTAATTCATAGAAATAAAACTAGGTTTCATTTCTGCATTAATGACATGTTCCTCCTTCGTCAGATGCTCAAATATTGTCACACTTATTACAAACTAAGAATCCTTTTTCTCTGTGTTATGTCTGCCTTTGATTTGTTGGACAGGACTATGCTCTGGAAGTGTTTACCAGACAGATCTATCCCTAAGAAGTTTATTAATGCCGTAAAGTTCCTATACAAAAACACCTTAGGTAGAGTTAGAGCTTTCAATCACTTCTCTTTGTTGTTCAACAGTAACACTGAAGTCAGAAATGGATATCATGTTTCATCATGCTTCTGTAATCCTTCCATAAATGACATTCTGAAGACAACACAGGAAGATGTTTGGGGGTGTAAGATCTGCTACCACGTGAAACACAATATACGCGTTACTCAAATCGCACCCGATCAGTATTCGTAAGTATAGTATGTACTTCTTACTGTCAAAGTGTTTCTACAAGATTGTAAGGAACATCTAACTGCACTCTTTCTTAACGGTGAATAGTTGGAAACTTTCGACAAGATTATATATTTGAGTTGTTGTGTTTGCTGGCTTAGGTGTGATTGGTGCTGTTTTTAAACTTATATCTGAGTCCAGGGAGGCTTCACCAGTTCGTATCACGTATAATGCCATCGTGATGTTAGTTTATCTGCAAAAGACTGGATGTACAACGCATCAGTGCAGGAAATTCCTCTGTATGTCTTCGAAAGCTGACATCACTAAGTTCAGGATACCTGATGACTCTGCATTCAGTCACCGCTATCTCTTGCGGGAACAATTATGAGGTGAGGAAATACCTTTTTGGGCGTGATGGGGGATCGTCATTCATAGAGTGAAGCCAAAGTCAAACACCAGTGGCAGAATGAAGTAGCTCAGAACTAATGTATCTCCACAATTTACTGATTTTGAATAGGCTTAGAAATCGGTCTTGCGCAGGTTGCTGTGGAACCCTTTAAAAGGTTTGTCAGTTAAATGAACCATGAGAATAAAACGTGCTGTGTTATCTCTGCCCTAATTTAAGAAACTAAACTTTATGCTAACACATGAGGTAGATGACATATTTAACCTGGATGTCCTGCATCCATTTTCAAACGGTGATCATGCAGTTTCTCTCCTTTGAGTTCCTAATTTTTGATATGGTCTATGATTCTGTTCAAACTCGTCTGAATGTCTGACAAGTGAATGTGACAGCTCTAAGAGAACATGCTTCGTCGGTAGAGTGGTCAGCTGATGTGACCTCTTCTACTGGTGATGCATGGAGTAAATTTAACAACACACTTAAAACTGTAACGCCCTCATATACTTTGGTCAGTCCCGCGAAGATCTAACTGTCCCTTGTGGATAACTAGATGTTAAAGAAAACGAGATGTCCAGTGAATATATCTTTATCGGCGATCTACGTTGAACTCCTCGTTTTCTCCAATGTCCTGATGAGCATTTCCAGTAATTTGAAGGATAACTAGAGTGGCTAAAAGGGCTAATACATTGTGATATCTCTTTATTACATGTTTATATCAGCTTACACTAATATATGGTGTAGTCGGAAATTCTTGTAAAAGCTTGATTCGAAAATTTAGCCTAATATACGAAAATAAGCACGTCAAGGATTCCTAGTAATTTACTCAGAAGTTGTTCTCTTACATTACGAGAAGAAATGATAGGAACGAAGATATCTCAGCTCTCACGCTATATGAAGATTCAACGCTAATGGCTGAGGCTCTATTACAGTAATTCAGTAAATTATTCCCTGAAGGTTGCATTCATTGCTAGGAAACTCTCCATCGGTGACATCTCACAATCCAATACTCATTGAAGAGCAGATAGCCCTAAAAGTGCTTCAGCATCTCAACAGAGACAATTCTTGTTGTGTAGACGAGCTATTTCCACGTATATTATCAGCACTAGCGGATATTCTCTTAGCTGTCTAAAATGTCACTGGACCAATCGAAATCGCCCGGGCATTAGTAGGATGCCATCACCAGTCTAGTGTCCAAGCTTGAAC